TTCTTTTTCTGTCTTTTATACTTTGTTGTTTGTGGTCTACTTCTTAAAGAAACAGTGTGCAACAATTACTGACAGCCCATGTTGGCTGACCAGGCAGGATGAGTGAAACGTTTCCCAAACATGGGAGCCCTCCATCAGAAGGCCTTCTTTGTTCCTGACTGAAGAACATCTAAACCCATTGACTCAAGACTGTTCTGAAATTGATCATAACTAAGGCTAATATTTGCATTTATTGCATATTTTGGTTTAAAACCGATCGCCCCCATACTCAAACCACCATGTCTGGTGGAAAAGAGTTGTGTTCCTTGGTTTTCCTCCGGTCCGGTGGATCAGTATGGTCGGATTTTGCTGTAGTTGGGGTTTCTCAGGTAGTTCAGTCTCACAGGTCGCTGGGTGTTTGGTTCCAACCAGAGGAATCTTCTCAACCAGCTTTGACTACCAGAGATCCAAAGTAATTTTCCATGTTCTGCTCATAATCTCTGTCAGAAGATATGAATAGATGACTCCAATAAATAATATTTACCAGCAGGAGGTCGCAGAGTTATTTCTGTTGTGTTCACAGGGTTCATAAAGTGTCATATTTTGAGTCAACAAATCTGATTGAGGATCAGAAGAACCTAAACAAAAGAATAATAGAGTGAGATAATACTGTGAATTCAGATATCAGGCCTTTTAGAAAAATGTATGTGATTAAATTGTGATTATTTAACTAAAATGAGAAATAAATGTAGACTACTGAGGTGAGACAAAAAGGTTCTACCAGTTCAAAATGGCAGAAGGAAGGGACAAATTGTGAAGTCGTCAGAACTTCCTCAAGCCCCTTAAGATCCAGTCCACAGCTTCCCTCTGACCAACCAGTCAGCTGCCTGGCTCTCATGTTCAGGAGTTTGGTCAAAATTGTGATAGAAGCAACACAACACACCGCATCCAACTCCCATCCCTTCACACAGGTTTCATGTTGTTCTGTTCATTTTGGATGAAGCTACACTCTCATCCAAAATGAGCCATAGTAAACAGCCCATAATGACAAATCCATATTGTCACATATTAAAAAAATACACAAAGAATGTAAACATTTAAACATAATACATGCAAAAATATTCACAGATCTGATTGGTCATCCTTGAGATGTTTCTGCAGCCCAGTTGGTTGACCCAACATCGTCTGGAGTGGGTCACATGTCGAGAAGCTGACAGAGCAAATCGGAGCAGAAACCAAGCAGTGAAGTCAAACACATCTGCAGAATACATAAAACATTTCAACAGTCTGGAAGGTCCCAGAGAGCTCCGGGGTCTCCATTATTACCAAACAAAAGAAGTTTCCCAGAAATATATCAGTCTAAACCAAACAAAGTATCACATTTTGGATGCGAGTACATATGCATCAGTTATGTTTAAAGACGCCGTATGTAATTTTATTTTAAAAAAAGGCATTTTACATTTGTTAAAGCTGTCACCATGTGTTGACATTTTATTTTGTGAAAAGATCTATCATCTCCTCCCTGTGCTCATATTGCCATTTGAAGAAATGCACCGCTCCTGACCCCAAACAACCAATCAGAGCCAGGAGAAGGGTCTTGCTGCTGTCAATCAATCTCAAGTACTTGCTACTAAATGTCCTGAGGGCAGAGAAACAACATACTAATGTACAATAACCATTAATCTGCTGTCATCATTGGCTGTGTTAACTAGCCTCAGCACTAATGACAGGTTGTGCTAGCTGCAGCACAGCAGAGAGCAAAGGGGAGGAGGATATGGATAGATGAGCCTGATACCTTGTGGCAAAAAACAACTAATGCCTCTATTTCAAGAAGGTGATGGCATTGAAAACAATGTCTAAAATCCATTATTTTCACTTTGCCATGATTGCTTTATATGGATTATTTTTGGTTTCAGTCAGAAGATGTGGAAAACGAAAACGTTGTAAATACTCCTAATAAAACCGAACTCATTAAGCAACTTAAGACACCAACTGGAACATGGTTTTATCAGCCCATAAACACATTCTTCTACATGCTTGAGTTCAGGTACATTTGGGTCTTTGGTAATTGTTACACACTGGACCTGCCTGTTCTTCTGCTTTCTGCAAACATTTCCTGTATCTGGTTGAGAAGCTGCTGATTCAGCTGCTGTAGCTGCAGATAAGCTGCTGTCTTCCAGAGCTGGACAGGAATAAGCACAGATAAGTGAGCTAAAAAAAAACTGAGCTCTTTTCTACCTGGACCACATTGTTGGACTGAACAGTGCCTGCTGGACTCGGGCCAAAGTCCTTCATCTGAGTGAACCTGCCGAAAGAACTTGAGCGTCCAGCCTGCAGGAACACAGGCTGTCTGTCATCAGTGATGAACAAACTCTTCCTGAATCTGGAGACAAATGGAGCCAGCTGATCCCAAAGCTCCAAAACTTTATAGAAACTTTGTTTTTGTGACTCCAGTACATAATCCAGCTCTCTCCTTCTTTCCCCTGTTTTGCCCCCATAGAGAAACTTAGATGTATTTCTGTTTCTCAACTTCTTTAACAGGAACTTAAAAAGTTGTTCTCTTTTGGAGAGTATTGCCACATATTGCTGCTGAAAAACATGATGAACTTCCCCCCACATTTTGTTTCTCTTTCTTCTCCTCTAAAGCACGCCAGTTAATGTAAGTATTGACATTTTTAACTCAGAGCTGCACATGCAGCAGTAGAACCCTGATCATGAAACAGAACGCACACTTTTGACTGAACAGAGTTGATCTAAGGTAATATTAGAAGAACAGTTTTTTATTATTATTATTATTTGTTAAAACTGTCACCATGTCGGGACAGTTTGATGGATAATCTTTGAAAAGATCGATCTGCTCCACCTCCTACTTGTGCTGTCTGAAGAAATGCAACAATCCCCATCAAAAACAACCAATCGGAGCCAAAGGAGTTTCTCAGTCCTGCCAATCAAAGTCGTGAACACGCTGCTAAATGTACTAATGGTGGAGAAACTTTCTGTTTCTGTTTTCTAGTATTTTGAGGGCACTGCATTATAAAATCTTAGCAATCAGTGATGACTTTTCCAAATCCATGTTTATCTCCTGAGGTGAGAAGCTAACTTAGCTGCTAAATTAGCCACTATTAGCTTTCGCCAACACAAGCAAAGTTTTGGTCTCCTGCTTTTGGTCCCCTCTAATTAGTTTAGAAATAGTAATTTAAAAAAATAATAATTGAGATAGTACATTAAAAATAAACGAGTATGATTAAAAGGACATGAGCAGTTTATTTTTTCGCCTTGAACATCTATGTTGTCGACTCGTTTGGGAGGTTAAATGCAGAAATGTTCATTCTGTGATTTGAGCAACTGTATCATTTGATGGTCTGATAGTTTTTCACTTAATTCTGGCCAGTAATCAACAGTTAAACCAAGAGCAGCCTAGTTGATATAAAACCTCCTCCCTGCAGTGTCACTGAAAATTTTAGAAATTTTCTTCCCATTTCTGTTTTCTATTTTGAAGGCAGTTAATTTAAAAATCCCAACAGAGCATCATTTGCATTGTTTTTCACTGGTCATCTTGAAACGTGCAGGAAACAAAGTCAGGCCACGGGAAACATTGTAACTGAATCAAGGTTGGTCCTTCAATATCACAACAGGAAATGAAAGAGGAACTGTTTGTCACCAAACTGAACTAGTTCATGTATTTCCCCTTTCTCAGTCTGTTCACACATATCAGTTGTGGATCCAGGATTTTGGAGGTACATGTGAGGTACTGGAGTCACTTGAAGGCACTTTGACTGTCACAGGACCTTTTGTGCTTTTGATTGTGTCAAAATGTTTTGGTTCCAGAAGAAGAAATGGAGAGAACTTTGGAGTTTTGGGATCCACCCTGGGATAAACAGGGCTGCTGTTTTTCATGCTCACTCTATAAAGCCTGAATGCCACACAGAGATTAGCAGAGCCCTGTAATACACCGTCCGACCACATAGTGGTGCTCCATCTCCTCCCTGCAGTGGCGTCTCCTCTTCCACTTTGTGTTGAGTTACTGGACATCTCAGAGATCCACATGTACCTTCATGTCTCTATAATGTGACAGCTACACTACTGATTCCTACTGATCCTTTCTGTCCACAGCTGATCAAACAGTTGAGTTTTGTTGATAGTTTTTACTCTTTTTTATTTCTGTTTATGAAGTGAAACAAAACTCTTCAACAGGCCTTAATAGATGTGCTGATGACATTTCGTGTCTCCCTGTGTGTTTTGTAATTGCTATGTTTCCACCCACGATACATTGGTTTAGGACGCTGGTTTGGAGTGAGAACTCCTACTTTACTGATAACTGTAGCAAACAATCCGTTTGATTGTTTGTAAGGTGTTTCAAATTGATATACATAAATGTATATTATAATTTCATTCATTGTAGTTATTAGACAATACAGTCAAGTTCAGTTTCTTCCAGTTGCTAAGACACTTTCTACCTATCGGTGCATCCAGCTCCTGTTGGGTCTTTGCCATCAGAACTGGCTTAATTCTTAGTGGCACAGATTCAATAATGATACCAGGAACATTTCTCAGAGATTCTTGTCCACATTGACAGGTTTGATTGCTGCACATCAGTTCTGTAAATCTTCCATTTCATATTCTGTTGGACTGAGATCTGGTGATTGCAGAGGCCAAAAGAGGACAGTGAATCATTGTCATGTTCAAAAAACCAGTTTGAGTCGCTCTAAACTTCATGACGTGGAATCTTTCCTTGTTGGAAGAAGTCTACAGAATATCTGTACACTGTTATAAAGGGAGAGACGTGATCATCATCAGCATTCAGGTTGGCTAAATGTGTTGGGTGTTCGGCGATGGAATGCATACCTCAGTGAGTCTGATAGTTAGAGCTACTTTTGCCTTTCTCTGATCTCATCTACCAATTGTCAAAACTACAGTTGAAAATACCTAAACATGGAGTCTTTCCAATTTATGGGAGTGAATTTCATCTTATTGGGCCATAAACACAAAAGGCACAAAACAACCAGACAACTCCAGTAACATTAATTTCAATATTTTTTTATTGTGTACTAAACGACAAATAAATACGTGAATGGTACAGAGTGAAAACAAAATGTGTGATGTTTGGCATGACATCACACCTGGAGTAATCAAGCAACCAACCTGACAAGGAATCAGTAAACAATCAGTTGGTAAGTCTTCATTTGTAAAATTGCTTACATTATTAAAATCATTTTTATATGCATTAGGGAATCTACTCTGCTGCTCTGGTTCTCCCATTACTCCCATTTGCTTCAACATGAGGATGGATGTAAACAGAACCTGTGGGGTCTGTGGGGCGACCTGGACTGTGAGAACCTTTGAGGTAGATGAGGTTGAAGATGTTCCAGGCCAAAGAAGACAGAAAGCTTTAAACTGAACCAAATATGATTTAGCCAGGCAAAGGATGTACACAAGCATGAACCAACTAGCATTTTTATGTAAAACTATCAGCATTGGAAATTACTTCCTACCAGAAGTAACTGAATTCAAACAAAACCAAAATGTATATTCTATAGGGAAGTTGGCATGTTTCTTGTTTTGTTTTTTGTTTTTCTCTGTGATCGGTTCCTATTTCATGTAAAAGTCAGACATGGAATGAAACTCAAGCAATTTCTTTCACATGAAACATGACAAATTAAGACCAAAAAAAAAAACTGTAATCCTGGAGTATTCCCAGCAGATGAAGTGAGTCACTGCTGCAACATGTGACAAAGGAAATCACTAGCTAATACAAACACTTTGCTTTGGGGACATTAATGCTAAAACAGACACAAATGAAACTGAATGCTTTAAACAGAGATTAATGAAGAACTCTCATACAGACCAGTTAAATATTTTCTGATGGTTTCAGTTAGAAAGGAAGGTACTTTGGTTCAACAAAAAGCGGTTTTCATTTAAACAGGAAGGTGTAGGTAATCCTTTCCGAGGTCCAAGATGGATTTGCAGTTCAGCCATGATTTGAGCTGTATTGGGATTTTTCATAGTGTAGCATTTACTCTGAAAAAATAAAATTCTATACTTGTACTATAACAAAGTACCGGTGTACTTTGTTATAGTACAAGTATAAATGCCCTAGTCTTGACTTTGTGTGTTTAGTTTAAAGGCTCATCTCCATATAACCTGCATAGCGCAGCTGAAAAAATTATGAGCTACATGAAAAACAGAACTAGGATACATAGTTTTTTTAAAAGTAATTTTACATACCACAACTCTTTCAGAAAAATTACAACATATTTTGGCCAACAAGTTCAACTAGAAGTCAATCCCTTTTCTGATGCGTCTTGGTTCACATCAGAAACTACATCCCAACTGAATCCCAGTGCTTGTTTCTGTGAACACAGAGTCCATCCTGCTCAACTCGTGGACAACAGGAAGTGATGTTGAGTTGGTTGAAGTGCAGCAGAAAAGGTGTTTGTGTTTCTGATCCATGGAGAGCACAGCCGTCCTGTCAGTGGAACCGGAGTCGTTTCTCGGACTCAAACCGCTTCTGTTCCTCCGCAGACAGCTGGTTTCCTTTCACGCTGTGGAAACACAAACCATCAGACACACAGTTCACACACACACAGTATGTGTGTGAACACATATCTGTTATGCAAGGTCAACATGGCTGGAACCTGATGATGGTTCCCTCCGGATCCTCATCCAAACACTGCTCAAAGTTGTATGAGTCGATAACTTAGGTTATTACTGGCATGCGGTGTGAACATTTATACCATAAGCTTCATATTGATAGAAATAATAGTAATACATTTACCAAGAAAATCCATTGATTTCCTTGGCAAATGCAGCTTCACCTGTGATCACGCTCAGGTCAAATACAACCTTTCCTCACTCAGGTACAGATTCAGTAGTGTGAAGTGTAAAACAACCAGACTGATAAAGACTTTCTATCCTGGAGAAATCTGTTATTCAAACATCCAGGTCAAACATTCTTGTAACACCAAGTAAATTGGTTTTGTTTGACTGCTCTTATTGCTATGCCATTGTTTATATGTGAAGAAAAGCATGACTGCATTATAAATATTCTATCAGCACCTCAACAATCAGTTTCCTCCTTACTGCAGAGGGAACCATCATCAGGTTCCAGCCATGTTGACCTTGCACAACAGATATTATCCACACCGAACCCAAAATGTATTTTTATGAACCACACCGAGCTGATCAGAGAGAGCATGAAGCCGGAGGTTTCTATGACAAACCATGACATAAACCTTTAGATCAGTGGTCCCCAAAGCCAGTCCTCAGGGGCCGGCATGTTTTAGTTCTCTCCCTGGTGGTAGTAACAACCTTCTCAGCATGTCAATGTTCTTCTTATTGCTCTGATGAGCCATCATTTGATCCAGGTGTGTTAAACCAGGGAGAGAACTAAAACATGCAGGACGCCGGCCCTCGAGGACCCACTTTGGGCACCAGTGCTTTAGACGGTGGTTTAATCTCACCAGATCTCCTTGAGCTTGGAGTTGGAAGCTAGCGCTTCGGCAAAGTGTTGGATCCCAGCAGCTGTGTACCTATTGTTGATCAACCTGCAGACAGACAAACACCGTCGGTCGATGACTTTCTCACAATCGATGCAGCGGCACGAGTCCAGTCCGAATCGTTACAGTGACGCTGCTCTCATGCATGGCTGGTTTCCTCACCAGAGGTGGCTCAGTCCAGTGTCGGCCTGAATTAACTCGGCCCAGTGCGGAGCCGAATCGTCCATCATCTCATTCTGCACCAACCTGCAGAAAATAAGGAACAAGAAACACTGAGACAAACAGTGTTTGACCTCAAGCCTCCTCACTGTGAGCTTGATATCTGGCTGAGCTGCAGTTTAAACCACACAGTTATACAAACCGTATGAATGACACAGAACTTTTTGTTCCTCACCGTCTGACATTAGGTCAGCTTGGATTTAAAAAGATACTTAAATTTTCTTCATGAAACATTGAGAAAGACATTCTTATTCATTTCTTCAAAATCAGAAATTTTAATCGATTTCCTTAGAATTTGGTGGAATTGCCTTTAAGACGGTGTGACTTGGGTCAAACGTTTTGGGTTTGCTGGAATTCCGTAATTCCAAACTGAAATCTGGGTTTTATGCTGCTTCTTCGTGAATGGCCTTTCAGTCCATTTCACAGAGTTTATACACTCTGTTACCAGCCTCACTGTTGTTGTGCTAAAAGGAGTTAGCCTATCATCGAAGCTATTCAAGCTAAAAATGTACCACACATGTAGCAGCAGCACAAACGTCCCCAATGCTACAAGAAGTTTCATAAATGATCAGCAGTTCCTGAAACACTGGAAAAGCACTTTGCTGTAGTAGATAAAAACAATGAATATCTTGTGGATTGCTGTAGAGCTCATATGTCTATTTATTCCATAATTTAGAAGCAAAAAGAGGTTTTGCATTTGAAAACATTTATTCCATTGATTTACGGCTTTTGATTAAAATGCTGATAATTTTGACTAATTAATCACAAATGCTACAATTAACGATTTAATGGAGTAGCTCCACTACTTAAAATAGATCTGAAGGTGGCTTCCACTTAAAGTCATATCATCATCTGGGCGTTCCCAAGTTCTTTTACCTCACAGTAATCTGACTGGATGTAAACTTCTGAATTTAAAAAATGTTCTGGCTCTTGGCAAACACATTTTTTTGTCATACTAACTGACATAAAACAGGAAAAGTTTCATTTTTCAAACCCTCTTAATTGTTCAGCTTAAACTGATGAACTTCCATACCAGAATATCCTCAGGACTGTGTTTTCCTTGAGTGCTTCTGCCAGACACTTCCCTCCTTTGGATGTGATGCCATTGGCTGAAAGGCTGGAGCACAGAGAAAAACAAACTGAACGGATCAGTGTGTGTGGATCATCCTGTGAGTAACTGCGCTGTTGTTTTCCTGCTACCTGAGGTTGGTGAGACGTGGGTGATTCTTCAAGGCTTCTGCAAAAGCTTCAGCTCCCTCATCACCGATGCTGTTGCCCCACATCCTCGAGGACAACATCAGTGTTATCTCGTGAACACCTAATCCATATTTAGTTCAGCTTTGATTAACTTACCCCAAGTCGAATATGGAAGTGCTCTTCTTAACCGCCATGGCCAGATACCTCCCACCCACAGGTGTGATCTTGTTTTTACCTATCCTAAATGTTAACCACAGCATTAAACACCAAAAAAAAAATTGTTCTTATTAAAGTCATGTGAGATATTGGACTCTTCAGGTGTTTAACATACTTCACAACTGATAGTTGAGGGCATTCTTCAATGATCTGAGCAACTAGCTTGGCTCCAGCATCAGTGATGTTGTTGTTGTAAAGCCTGAGGAAATAAAGATGATCAGATGTTATGATCTGCATAGATACACATGATAGGGTAACACAGAGTTGCCCCTCCCCCACATGTTGACCAGCTAGTTGACAGAAGATTCCTCTACTTCTCACCTTCTGGATAAAAGAAAAGAAAACTGAACGTGTTAGGAAATATTTCCAGCTGTGGAGGAATTAGAAACTACACTGATAACAAGAAATGGCGCTCCAACTTTAAATAAATGAGTTAATTTGCTGAACGTGATCAAATTAACTTCGTCAAACTTAGCTTATTTGCTTAACAAGACAACTTAATACACTTTAATGAACTCAATTTTATTACTTATAATAAAGGATTTTTTTAAAAGTTGGATCTCTTTTCTTTTTTTTCCAGTGTAGAGGAGATCTATCAGTCAGTACCGTTTTAAACTCACCGTTAGGAACAGCAGCAGCGTGATGAGAGCTTCTAAACTAAAATCTGCGGAAAAAATAATCTGCAAAATGCATTTAATGAAAATTACTACTTGTGGAGAGTTCAGCTGTTTTGGTGTCTCAAACTCCAAGTAATATGAATATTGTGGCATTATTACCTTTTGCTTTTTAGTTTTTATCAGCATAGAAGCTACTCCTACATCAGTTCTTTTGTCTCTCTGCTCTGTATTCTCAAACCTCCAGTCAGTCATGACTGATGGCCGCTCTGAACCTGGCTCCAGAAACTGCTGGAACCAAGTTCTGCCGGTTCTGGTTCTACTGGAGGTTTTCCTCTCCACAGTCACTACGTGCGGGCTCAGTATCATGCATTGCTGCAAAGTCAATGGCAAAATGCAGGAGACTGTTGCCATGTTCTTGTCTAGGAGGAGTGAATGCTGCAAATCAATGACTTGGTGCAATTTGTTAAGTTTTCTTGCATAGAAAACTAAGCAATAACTAACACCAGTACATGTTAGAAGCTGCAGGTCCTTCCTCCCAGCAGATGTTGGATTTTACAGTCATTACAGCTCATGACACTGCTCTATTTATTCTAATCTATCCTACAAATTCCAATAAAACAGTTTCTAGTTGGACCGGGATGGAAATAGGAAACAGTTCCATGGGTGTAGATGCTCTGTCTTTAAATAGTTCGTATTAGAGAAATTGATGTGGAATCATGTTTACTCACCCCAAAATCTTCACAACCTTGTGTTTGCACAGCTCTTCTGCCAGAACCTCAATGCTACTGTCAGTTAGGTTATTGACACTCAATCTGAAGGCAGGAAAGAAATACACCGAGCATTAAAGACTGAATATCAGTCAATACACTCAGAATCTGAAACATCAATAAAGTTATATCCGTATTGTTTTACCATTACAGAAGATAAGTCACCAGAATGTTGTAATGTCTTTTTGTCACAATTACTTTTTCTTTAGGTTATAGATTTTCATTTTTCTCCAATAGCATTCATTTCTTGGGATGTTTACATAATTTTATTGCTGCATTTGGTTCTCAAATAAAAAGTCAAAAATTATTGCAACTTTTTGGGCAAAGTTGTCAGTAAAGCACAGGGTATTTCCAAAGTAGTAGCACCAGTGATCTGTTTCTAAATATGGTGTTCTTGTGGTTAGTCTGGCATATGTTGTGCAAAGTTTCAGAGGAAGCAGAACCTACCAGAATATTCTAATGTGTGAGTGTAATCAAAACAACTGTACAGTGTCGACCCAGCAGTCAAAATAATGACAGCAGACAACGGTGGGAACGCTGCCAGCATAAGTTAGAGATGAGGAGCACATTTCAGTTTTTCAAGCCCAGTTTAAAAAACAATAAAGATCTCAATATATTTTTCAGCCAACTTGCATACAGAATAATTTTGACCAACTCTAAGAATAATTTTCTGGAACGCATGAAACTGTGTTTTTCCGTCTTTACCTCATTTTACAAGTGCAACGATTTTGCTTTCTGCTCTCAGCCACCATTCTAACCTGCCTCTCGGTGAAACATATAAGCAGCTGAATTGGTAGTCACTTAAAATCAGGATCATCAGAGTGACATGCCACATGGGAAACTGATTTTTTCTGTAAGTTTTAATAAATACACAATTACCTGGAACTGCTCTAAAATATGTTGGGAAGGTGAATTATTAAGGAGTAACATAAAAACAGAGAAAATGCAAAATAGGCCTGTCACAAAGCTGGACAATGATATTATCATTTTGAGACATTTTTCAACCAATCTATTGATAGTGGTATAATAATGTAAGTTGCATTCTCAAACACTATTGAACTTTAATTTTGAACAGAACACACCACACTGCAACTGGAAGAGATTTTAAATGGCCAAAATAAAACACAAAATCCATCCATTTTCTTAAACCCTTGTCCCTTGTGGGGTAGGGAGAGGTGCTGGTGCCTATCTCCAGTGAGACATTTCAGATCAGAGTCGGGTCACCCTGGGCAGGTCGTCAGAATGCTGTAGGGCAACACAGAGACAGACAGGACAAACAACATGCACACACACTCACACCTTAGGGGAATTTAGAGACCTGACAGTCACATTTTTGTGGGAAGAAGCCGGAGTACCCGGGGAGAACCCACCAAAGACTGCATCTTTCTGAATGTTACTGCTGCATGAATTAAATACAGAATAGCACTTTGAACTCTGAAGCTATAAGTTCACGAAAAGTCAACCAGCTGTGGAGAAGGCCTGGGTTTTTGGGTCCTGCGAATTATGTTTGGCAGTCAATGGGCAATGCGTGGGGTACACATGCTGGACAGGTTTCCAGCCCATTACAAGACAAACAGAAAGCTGTAGTGAAAAAGACATCTTTCATACCTCACAATTGTCATCTTGCAAAACGAAGGCTGAAGCTGCTTCACCCCATAGTCACTGACATTGTTGTTGTCCATGTCAAGCCCCAGGAGCTTCTGACGGTGCTGCAGCACAAAGTTTATGGCCGTGCAGTCACCTGAGTACACGTTACAGTAGCCCAGCTTGATAAAACTTGCGGTGATACCTTTTGCTGTCATCTCAGCAATATCTTTGCTCCCTGTCTCAAAGATGCATCGTAGTATCCAAAGAAAATGGGGCAAAACGTGAACTATCTTCTGTCCATCAGCAGTATGATGGGGTAAGCCCTCCAGATGGACCTTGACGCTGCTGGACAAGTAAGCCTTCAACAAGGCTCGTTTTTTCTTCAGTAAAACAGGAGATACCAGTAGTCCCATCAGACTTGCTTGAGTCTTTGACAGCAGTCCACTCAGGAACAGATTTGTGAACTGCAGGTGCTCGTTTGTTGAGAAAGGCCTCTTTTCGCAAGGCTTCACAAAGCTCCTGGTACAGAAAGCTAAAGGGAGACAGCAGGGTTCTCTCCTCCTGCTGCATTCTGTGAAGAACTTGAGGATGGAGTTGCCAGAAGTCTGCTCATCCAACACAAGAGCAAATGCAGCCAAGAACGACTGGAGGGTGATGTGGATGAACTCGAAGGTAGCGGGGGCATCACTGGCGTCAAACTCACTAATGGGTCTGAGGAAACCTAGGGCCATGTCCTCCTCTGTGAGACCACACTCACTGATCTCATCTTGGCTACACAGAAAACTTCCTCTCTCCAAACCCTGCAAAGCCAGTTTAGCAAACCCAGCCAGCGGCCTGAGGCCCACTCTGAATGTCTCTGAGGTGCAGCGGGTGCCTTTCTTCAGCAGGGGAGAAGTGGGAGTGACCAAGCGACTGAGGAACACCTCAGACAGCAGAAGGAATATGTCTGTTAGCGTGATGCTGGTTTCAGGCAGATGAAAGGTATCATGCATTGTATGCAGGTGCCGAAAACTTTTGAATACAATCCAGCTGAAGAGTGGGGTGGAACACAGGCCACAGAGGTGAGGGCTGGCGTCCAGCTGAACCGACACCAGGTCCCGGTGCTCCTGCTCCTTGAACTGCAGTTTGATGTACGTCTTTAGATGGTCTGGAGAAAATCCACGCAAAACTACTTTCTTCTTAATGACTTTGCAATTCAATCCCAGTTCGGGTCGTCAGTATTTTTTTGGAGCCCTTAAGTAGTTTTCCACAGAGCAAGCTGAGGAGCAACTGCAAAGAGTTTGCCTTGTCTTCTGGAGACACAACTTCAGGAACATTCATCAGGTCTATGTCCTCCTGAATTTCATCATAGCCATCAAAAGTAAACACAACCTTATCAGGGAAGCGCAGGATGTAATCAAACACTTCATTATCTGGATCATGATCTGGGTAACAATTGTATTTGAATAAAAGGTCTTTAAGGGACATCTGCTCTGTTTCCTTGAAGATGCTGAACATCCTACAGCGAAACTTGAAAAAGAAGATGGCGTCTGTCTGCAGCTCCCTTTTGGACCAGAGGTTCTGGAGCTTTTGCAGAAGGATGGACTTCCCAACACCAGCATCCCCCATCACATAGATGATTTCACCTTGGGGATTAAAGACTCCATCTTCTCCAACAAGCTGATTCAGACTCTCTATGAAGCCAAGACTTTCATTAGAGTCGTTGAACAGCTCCATCACAGTGTCTGTGTAGAGGTCCTCCAATCGGGTCTCATCTTGCTGCCCATAAGACATGATGAAGCTGGTGTCTCGGCTCATCTCATATCGCTGCTTCTCACAATACCTGCTGACTTAAGAGAAAAGTACATTCACTAAGTCTCTGTTGGCTGATAAAAAAAATGACATGTTGATTTTTGTGTATTTATGTGGTAAAGCACTTTGACCTGGCTTCTTGTTGAAATGAACTGCAGAAATAAACTTGATTGATTGATCTAAAAGTAGATGTGTAATGAAAGCTGTTTCCTACCATTCAAGAGCAAATTCTCATCACATCTTACACTCACATCACATGTTCAACAGTTTACTTAATCTTTGCATGACAATTGGATGGAAACATAGCAAAGGAGTATTTATTCAATATCTTAGCAAAACTTGAGAGTTTCTCAAATACTGTCTGTTCACATTATACAAAGGAGTCAAGCAACTCAGGTCTAAACCTGTGAATCTTGGAAAATTTACTCACCAGAGATTTTCCCTTTTACCAACTATGCTAATATTGGCCATAGTGGCCTTAGCTATATCAGTTAGCACACATACAGGCATCTGTATACAGCTTGGAATTCAGAATATCATTATATGCTGATAATGTGATCCTGTACTTTATAAACCTGATAGCCACTGTTATATTAATACATCAAATTGAATTACTTTGAATTATATCATTATGCTTAATAAGCAACAGGGCTGAACTGTTCTGAAACAGTGTGACCTTAATGTGGGTGGACAGAACCATAGAAACACGCCGTAGTCATAGGACATACGTTTAAACTGATTCATTTGCATTTGTAACACTTACTAGGGTCGGTGTTCACCACTTCCATCTCTTCCATGTCTCTGATTGGCTTGTAGTTGATCTCTTTTAGCCATGGCTGCAGGTCTATATATGCGTCACGTATTTTATATATGATAAAAACAAAGTATTGACAGGCATCCTCTCCTTTGCACTGAACCAGCTCCAGGATTTTGCGCACCTGGAAAATGAAAATGTTAACACGGAGACTTGAAGATGTTATTCAGTGTATTTATAGATGAGTGGAATGGAAGGTGTCCTCGCCCAACCTGGTTTGGTTTGGTGATGGTTCGTTGAACAATCTCCACGTCTTCCTCGCAGAAAAAGTGGTTGGCCAGCAGGTTATCCAGGAGGCACTGAATGCTCCTTAGCGTGGACACCAGCAGCTCTCTGTGGCACGTGAGGAGGTCAAGGCACGACACTCTGTCTTCCTTTACCTGACCCATTGTTTACAGTCAGTAACCCTCTGTGGAACAGCAACAAAACAGACTTAGGCCAGCAACATAACAAAACTGAGTTTGTATATAAAAAAAAAAAAAAAAAAACTGATCAAAAGCTGAATGCTACAAGGCTTCAAAAGAGTAGTGGACTACTTTTTATCTTCTAGTAATATTTGAATTAGTCCACACCAAAACCTTCATTTAGCTGTTGTCTGTGGGTTTCTAGTGTGTGTGTCATGGATCATTGATCTGCTGCACAATCTGGGTGAGTTTGAGTTTAAAGTTATAAACTAGTAATTAAATATTTTCCAACAGGATTTTTAAGACATGGTTCTGTCACTCTGCCACCATATTCCACTGTAGTGTGAGGATTTTTCCCCCCCCCCACATACAGCTAAATTGGTTTCTTCTTTCTTCTCTTACAAAATCACTTTCGAAACCTATGTCTTGGGTTTATTCAAGTTATATTTATCTGAATTAAAAATTGATCGGAGAATCTTAAGTGTGAGAGGAACGTAAAAGCTGAAATAAATCTGTAAAAGAGTAAGAGCTTGAAAGCGCAGCATGAATGACTACAGATGACTACACAATTTCAAAACCTGTAAGAATTTTTGTATTTTTAAATGTTTGGATAAGCACAGATGAAGTAAAACCTTTTGCCATTTGTGAAACATTAATTAGCAACATAATTCTGATTTAACAAAACAATCACATGGAACCTCAGATGCAATAAAATGGCAAATAGAGGCTCAAAAATGACCTCTGATCACTTACAGATGATTTCACTTCAACTCTGCCGGTCAAAAATAAATATTTTATCACTAATACAAACTGTGTCATAACCATCATCACTTTTTAAGATGTCTTTGCAGAGTAAGCTATGATTCTTATATTGTATTCATTTCTATGTATTTATGCTATCAAATTTCAACAAAATACTTTCACATTCATGATTAAGTATTTGATAGAGAGTATAATTATCAAATATCAAGTATAAACTAATTGTCCTACATTATAGGTGGAAAAAAAACAATCACACCCTCCAGCGACACTAGAGGGCGCTAGAACACCGCTAGCCGACAGAACGGCAGGTTCGGAGGCATCATCGAAAGTATTAAACTTCCTCACTTCTTGTCTTTGCCAATTTTTCCTGCCGTCAATAAATCAATTCTGGCAATACAATGTTGACGTACATTGCTGTTGTGTGATTATAAAAGCAGCAAAAAAAAAAGAAGAAGAAAGTAAAAAAACACAACATGTTAAGTCTAAAATCATCTCATGCGGACTAACATCTACTGATTCTTAACCCAAAATGCCCAAAGTAGAATAAAAACATACTGACTTTGAAGAAGTCGCGAGCAACGAGGAAGTAAAACAAAGACACAGACCCTGAAGCTAACACCTCCGCGTCCGGACCGGTTTTACCTCCGAAAACAGCCGAACTTACTGCAGTCCAGTCTCATTTCACTGTGCAGTGACTCTATGTTATTTCAGAGAAAATGCCATGTTGAAATGAAAGTAAGGGGCGGCGGTTTCTCCAACAGCACCCGCCTGAGGAAGTGAAGCGGTTCAGGAAAACTGCGTCATTTCTCTCCAGGATCTCACAATAACAGCCATGCGGTGTTCAGGAACACTCTGACATGTGGCAGAGGAAACAGGTAAAGAATCAAACTGCTCAAAACAAAACTGGTAAAACGTTTTATTTAGCTCTGTCTTGTTGTTTGGGCCACACCCCTTTTAAACCAACAGGTTTTGGTTATATAAAACTGACGTCTGGAACACTGCAGAAACAGTAATGTCATGACTGAACCATTTCAGATATAATAAAATCTAGAAAAATTACATTTTATCAGTCAATAACTGTGTGCATCACGTTGATCTGATGAGCATGAGCACTGTTCTTTATGCCAAATAACGACCAAATAAATGTCACAATACTCAATGAAATTATATTTCTCCATCTGTGAAATTAAGCAGTAAATATATACCAGTACAGTCCTATTTACGTATATTACATAATATTGGCTGCACTTATTACATTTTCATTATATAGTCACTTTCACAATTGCCAATTGTTACTTACAACCTCTAAAATGTTCTTACATAATTAGGAAATTGTCCTATTTAAATTTAAAAAGGCTACAACTTGGATGTCAACAGCAGGTAGAAGTTTTTGGCTGCCAGTATATTATCGGTTGTTTTAGTCTTGTGTAACTCTAATGAAAAACAAAATAAAGTCGTTCAGGGAGAAACATCAGAAATCTACGGTGGCCCTGAGGTGCAAAACACTACAACATTAAGGAAAGCACTACAACATTAAGGAAAGCACTACAACATTAACAAAAACACAACAACATTAACGAAAACACAACAACATTAAGAAAAACACAACAACATTAACAAAAACACGACAACATTAACAAAAACACGACAACATTAACAAAAACACGACAACATTAACGAAAACACGACAACATTAACAAAAACACAACAACATTAACGAAAACATGACAACATTAACGAAAACACGACAACATTAACAAAAACACGACAACATTAACAAAAACACGACAACATTAACGAAAACACGACAACATTAACAAAAACACGACAACATTAACAAAAACACGACAACATTAACAAAAACACAACAACATTAACAAAAACACGACAACATTAACGAAAACACGACAACATTAACGAAAACACAACAACATTAACGAAAACACAACAACATTAACAAAAACACGACAACATTAACGAAAACACAACAACATTAACAAAAACACGACAACATTAACAAAAACACGACAACATTAACAAAAACACGACAACATTAACGAAAACACGACAACATTAACAAAAACACAACAACATTAACGAAAACACAACATTAACAAAAACACGACAACATTAACGAAAACACAACAACATTAACAAAAACACGACAACATTAACAAAAACACGACAACATTAACAAAAACACGACAACATTAACGAAAACACGACAACATTAACAAAAACACGACAACATTAACAAAAACACAACAACATTAACAAAAACACGACAACATTAACGAAAACACGACAACATTAACGAAAACACGACAACATTAACAAAAACACGACAACATTAACGAAAACACGACAACATTAACGAAAACACGACAACATTAACAAAAACACAACAACATTAACGAAAACACGACAACATTAACGAAAACACGACAACATTAACAAAAACACAACAACATTAACGAAAACACGACAACATTAACAAAAACACTACAACATTAAGGAAAACACTACAACATTAAGGAAAACACAACGGAAGAGGTAGGTCCCAGTGGGAGACCTAAGAAGTCGCTGATTGGACGACAGGTCGTTTTACTTTTGAACCGGAAGTTCTTCTGGCTTTAACTTGATTGCTGAAAACAAGAATGTTCTCAGTGATCCAAACCTTAGTACTGTTATTCGTAAATATTTTGAGTCAGGACATACTGATACTGGTGATACTGGACATGCTCCAGACCAATCACGAAGTGTCGGTTAGCATGCGTTCAGTAAAGACTCATTTGAAAGTAGCAGGGCTGCATTGAAGAGGCAACTACTCTCCACTTCCTGAAGTGAGACGTGCCATTATGTCCCAGCTTAGAGGACCAGGGCAATTATTTGGCTATCGGACCATGTGGCAAGTTCTCAAACTAAAACACAACCTGCGTGTCAAACGTGATGTTGTAATGAGACTGCTGAGGCAGCTGAATCCTCAAGGCATCGCTCTGAGAACTCGCAGGTTTACAAGACGCACGTATCCCTCCACGGGGCCCAATTACATATAGCATGTAAATGGCTACGACAAAACTGAAGCCATTCGGCTTGGCCATCTCAGGGTGCATTGATGGTTTTTCGAGAAGGATAATGTGATATAAGACAGCTGTGGAAAGATAGTTTAAATCCCAAGGCCACTTACCTTTGAGAAATGAAGAGAACATTTTCCTGGTAAATTAATTGGTTCCCATGTTTTGGAAGGGACACATTATTTCAGGTGGCTAAAATATATGGTTCCCCCTCATATCTCTGGCAAATAAAGAGGAAATGTTTTCAAATAATTTGTTGTTGATGAAGAGATGAATAAGCACAGTTGAAGACTTGTTGGTAAATAGTCCCCATGTTTTGAAGGGGGAACAGATTATTTTAGTCACCTAAAATATATGGCTTTCCCCTCATAACTCTGGCAAACAAGGAGCAAATTCTACCAAAATCACAGGATTTATTGTTGATGATGAGAGGAATAAACAGAGAAAAAAATCTTGCTGGTAAATTAAGTTGTTCCCATATTATGGAGGGGGACCAGATTATAATTTCCTCCATTCTTTCCTACCCTTACCGAACCTTGGGGAATAAAGAACTGTTTCCAAATTCTCAAAAATCTTTACATACACACTACGTGTTGGGAAAACTGTGTTTGGTGCCTGACTTATTTCTGCCAGGCTTACGTGAGAAACGTTGGAAAAAGAGCGATTCTCTTGGCGTATAAAATAACAAAAAACAGCATCAGAAGATCTTGTTTATTTATTTATTATACAATTTTTTAAACAACAGCTGCCAATTAAACTCAATGTTACAACCTTCACATGATTATATGAGTTGTTTTACCGAGAAATCGATCAGAAGCGACGTGAAAATGGTCAGATCCGCCTCATTCGTCTCTCTGGCTGTAATGATCGCTCCCGACACAGGGGAACCCAATTTAGCACCTACCCGAACTTTCATTTCTACCTTTTGTTTTAACCCCTTTCTCCCAAGAGAATACTTTGGTCGCTCCTCATTTTTCTATTCAAGGAAGGTGCTGAGGGCTGGTGTACGGCAGGATGGGACAGTCTGTTGTGCTAGAAGTAAAGCAAAGAAAAAATGTCGCACATCACATTCATGCAAACAGACGATATGTATTACGAACTGAAGTAAAGCTGCCACAAGTATAAATTAAGTGCGAGTTCGCTTCCAAAAAGGCGGCTAGCCTGATCGCAGTGCAGCAGAACCAGAACGACACCAATTATCCTAAAAAAGTAGTGCCTAAAGCTGTAACGTACCTTACGATATATAGCTAATACAATTCTGCTGTATTATAGCGACTTTGTGTACTTTTAATTGCATTTATAATGAACAACTAGATGACAGTGGACACGGTCTGGAGACCACTAGCGTTAGCAAGTTACTACATCCATAAGAAATATGAATCTTCCTTTATACTTTTTAACTTACTTGAACATTGTGGAGTATCCTCCATACAAGTTTCTTGCCACAATTACTGCAAAAATTTGGTGACGGCTCAACCACCTCCTTTCCACAGTTCGGGCAATACATGGCGAAGTGACTGTATTCCCGCTTCCTTAGGTTTTCAATCAAACGAAGCACTCCAGCATAACTTCCGGTTCAAAAGTAAAACGACCTGTCGTCCAATCAGCGACTTCTTAGGTCTCCCACTGGGACCTACCTCTTCCGTTGTGTTTTCGTTAATGTTGTAGTGCTTTCGTTAATGTTGTTGTGTTTTTGTTAATGTTGTTGTGTTTTTGTTAATGTTGTTGTGTTTTTGTTAATGTTGTTGTGTTTTTGTTAATGTTGTTGTGTTTTCGTTAATGTTGTTGTGTTTTTGTTAATGTTGTTGTGTTTTTGTTAATGTTGTTGTGTTTTCGTTAATGTTGTAGTGTTTTCGTTAATGTTGTTGTGTTTTTGTTAATGTTGTCGTGTTTTTGTTAATGTTGTTGTGTTTTTGTTAATGTTGTTGTGTTTTCGTTAATGTTGTTGTGTTTTCGTTAATGTTGTTGTGTTTTTGTTAATGTTGTAGTGTTTTGCACCTCAGGGCCACCGTAGAAATCTGATTGTATTCATATGCACACCTGGCTTTTTACCAAACCACCTTCTTAGTTACCATAAATTTAGTGGCCATTTGCTTTTGGTAGGAGTCCTAAGACTGTTGAAGTTTGGTCCCTAAAGTCTTATGACTGTCTGAACTTATGCTTCATATTCGTCTTTATTTTTATATTACTTGTGGACTTTGTGTGGAAAAGGTTTCTCTGCTTGCCACGCCACAGATAATCTGCCAGAGCTGGTTTTTGCAGCTGCAAGAGATGCAGATAAAGAAGGTAACTTCTCTCAAAGTGACTGAATGAGAAGCTAGTTCTCAGAATTTATCTCCTAAATATTTTTTGCACTTTTTCTCAAAGAGAGTCTTGTAACTTTGTGTGACAGAACTCATTCTGCTTTTGTTCTCATTGCGTACAAGATCATTTAATAAACCTGAATAAGTTCTTTTCAACTTAACGGCGCTTGGGTCATTTTGTTTTTTTTACCACCTACTTGCCCCTACACGGTCATGATCATTCAGGTTCGCTTAATGGAAAAAAACTCAATCAAATGAAGCAACCATAGGAAAAGAAGACCTTTCTTGTCTTTAGGCTTGAGCGATGGTTGTGCTGATCTACAGCCCAGCAGACCAACAGGTTGTTAAACACCCAGACCCGACTGTATGGTACCAAAACCCATAAAACATTCAAAGTCACCAAAAGCCCCATCATTCTTCTTCAACAAGTCATCTTCACCAGGTTTAGATATCTGAATGCACAGGCCGGAAAACATGTAGAAACAAATAGACTGAACTCACAGATGGTGTTTTTGATCAAACCTTTATTTTAATCAACAAATTTAATTGTGCACAAACCAAAGTCAAAACACACACACAGCCCCCATACAAGCAAACAAGCCACATTTACAGACTGATATGATATGTAATATTTGTCACACACACACACACACACCCCACACACACACACACACACGCACATACTCACACACACACACACACACGCACACACACACATCATTACCATTATATTCCATTTAAAATTAAAGGCTTTTTTATAAAGGGTGGCATACAGAGATCAGGTGTATTCAATAATCTCCAGCCAGAGTGAGTCCATATTGGCCTTTTGATTATTTTTTAAGCCTGATGAAGTGGTAGAACTGCCACTCATCTCACAGCTTCTAAGGGAACTTCATCATGCTAAGGTTTGAGTGTGTGTTTCTACTTGGTGACCTGCAGGGGGAATACACAGACCCCTGGAGACAGGCTCTCCCTGCATGAACTAATCAGGTGGATGATTAACACTGATTCAAATATTCTTGTTCTGTGCAATATTTCTGAAAGAAACCAACATATGTGTGACTGTATAATAGATTCTGAAGTGTTAGTGCAAGATGATGAATATTAAACCCACTGGCTTGGTGAATAACATAAAGAGCCACAGGTTTACAAAGTGGTGAGCAGTTCTGTAGGTGTTGAGAATGGAGAAGTAGTTTAAATACTAATGCATTATGCATAATATTGATCTGATCTGTGGTTCACAAAGACATTTTTTTAACAGTTTTTTTTTTCTATTTTCTCAGAATATTTTTGTTTGATGATCTGAAACGATCCAAACCTGGAGCTGCTGCAGAGATGATTCTTTGGACTCCAGCTTTAGCTGATTGGCTGCAGGAACAATAAAGTGCAGAGGCAATAGCCTTTAAATCATCTTTAAAAGGTTAAAGTGTAACATAACGCCTGCTCAGGAATCACATAAGTACAAAAATATGATTATTCTAGCTTTCAATCTGGGATGATTTGTGTGTGATTCGTAGCTTAAAAGAAAAAAAAGTGCAAACAAACAGATTTTTTTTGAGCAGGGTGTTTGTACTAAGGTGCCAAGAGGATGTAAAATTGTATCTCTGTAACTCTAGAAAGTCCGTCAGGGAACCAAAAGGCTCTTGATCTTCTGGGTCCTCAAAAGGTAGGTGAGATGAAGGATGATTGACTTTCCACAGTTTTGGAACAGTTCAGTGGTGTTCTAGCCGTACGTAGACAGACAGAGATGGAAGTGTGTTTCACGTTCCTCCACCACAGCTGTAGAAAAGGTCAGCAGAGGTCAGACGTCGGTCTCATATGTGTACATGAATGTTTTTAAGGAGAGGATCTCGATGTAGCTCCGCCTGGTTCTCCGGTACAGGTCCAGGCCTGTGAGCAGCTCCACATCTCTGACCCGGGCCGTGTGCATCTTCATCAGGGCCTCTACCCAGCGGGACTCATCCTCGGAGCTCTGTGGGTTGGGGTCACACATAGAAAGTCATGTCCGCTGCTCTCAGAAACAGCCGTGTGGACAGGAAGGACCAGAATGTGAAAGGTACATGTGATGGGATTAGTTCTTACGTTGCAGGTCTCGTCGTTGTTGGGTCGATGTGGCAGGATGAAAGCGGCGCTCTTCAGTGGACCGTTGCATGAATCTGCAGGCTGTGTGAAGTTCAGGCAGCTGGTCAGGACCACAAAGTAATGAGTCGGGACGAGGACGGCTCCGCTCACATGGCTGGAACAGATTTCACCTTTTAGTAGGAAGTCTAGCCAATGAAGAACAAAGACCATATAAAAATAATCTTTTTTCAAGGGCTAATCTTTAATTTAAAAATCAGGAGATATCATCTAAACTGACATTAAGAAACTTTTTGATTTTTGTAGAATCAAAAAGTTCTTTTTGATTCTACAAGAAAAAAAATAAACATATTTAGAGTACTGTGCAAAACATTTCAACTATGAAAACATGGATCTCCTCCAGTTCTCCCTGAGCTACTATTGCCATCTGAAGAAATGCACTGATCCCAACCAAAAACAATCAGTAAGGGCCAGGAGGAGGGTCTTAGTGCTGTCAATAATTCTCATGTACACGCGATGTGCTGATGCTGGAGAAACAGCTTACCTTTATCTGCTGTCATCAGTGGCTATGCTAACTGACCTGAGCATCCATAATCTGCTAAGCTAGCTGCAGCATAGCAGAGGGAAATGTGGGGAAGTTAGAGGGGGGATTAACGGCGCCATACGGAGGGTGACGGACAGTGCTAAGACCCACCTACTTCCTCTGACTGGTTGTTTCACTTCACTGGGAGCACTGGGAGAAGGTAGATGAGCTAAATTTGTTCAGAGATTGTCTGTCTCACAAATATGTAGATTTTTTTTATTGTTTTTTTATAAGAGGTACATACTGCAGCTTTAATGGTTCATGTACACTTTGCTTCCAAGGAGCCACACTTTTAATAATCCATTAAAGAACTCTGGATCAAACAGTACTCAAGCTTTCTGAAGGATTTTCTTGGTTTCCCTTCCTTTTGGGTGAACTTATGTTCAGGCTCTTCCTTCTTTATAACTGTGGCAAAATACTGTTATGATGAGGAATGTGGACAAGTGTTGGTGCAGGTGAGACCTAAAAGCCTATCTACACAGAAAAAAGATCCCAAGTTGATTTATTTGTGTCTGAGAGAAGCGCCACAGAGTGCTAGTTAGTGACATTTCCTCCACCAAACCAAGACAAACAGATGGTTAAGAACCGATGGTTTGCAGAATACTTTTCTCAGCACCACTTACTTATCAGTTGGAGTGAACTCCTAAAAAGACTTTGTCCACTTTCCTGTTGAAGTGCTGAGAACTTGCCTGTTCAGCCCAGCGAATTCCCCATTTGGTTAGCCACAGTCTCTGATTGAGAGATATGGAAGCTAACCCATCTCTATACCAATCTACCAATCAACGTTTGATTGCAAACCATCCCCATCTGGCCAACCCCAATGAAACCACAGCTTTCCAAATTCTACTCCTGCATGGGGCCCTCAAGGCGAATGCAGAGACATCCAGACCTGGTTTGGAACCAACCAGGCCGGGGCCTGCAGTTCATCAAGTCTAGTTAGATTCAGAAGGGCCGCGTGACCTGACTCCTCCGCCAAGGAGTTTTACCATCTGTAACCCAGAGGACCAATTCTCTGTCCAACAGGCCACAAAACTGGCATTGTTTCCTTTGCAAACATTTAGATATGTCAGTAATTAGTTAATGATGAACAGGTATGTATCCTAGGATCCAGTGGCGCTAGATTAGGATTAAAGTTAAGCCTTCAGGTTTCTGTGAGTCCAGTAAACCCCAAATAACCATTAGAGATTAGTCCACTGTTGGAATGTTCATTTATTATTTCAGAAATGTTCCCTATATTTTTAATAGCAAAAGTTGGGTTGTTTATTTTAAGCCGTTTAAACCCAAATCCCAAATTTTTTTCTGCAAAATAAGTGCATGTATTTCAATCCTTGGACATGATATTTCTGAATTATTCAATTTTATGTTGGTCATGTTCAGGAAAATGTAGGTTTTATACTAGGCAACAATTGTTGCAGGTGGGAAACTGCATAGTCTGAATTACACAAATATGACCTTCTTATACATATAAAAAAATAAGAAAAATTGTGACATGCATAACCTATTATAACAAAGAATGGTTACAAGTGTTCAGAAATATTTTAGATACACAAAGATTCAATGTCAAATCCTGCAGGTGTCATAGTTTCAATGTGCTGAGTGACCTTTGACCTCATTTGGTCATTTCATCAATGAGGCAAAGTCAGGTGAAATTGTTAGTATGAATAAATATGCATCTGGGAGGAAATTCTCCCTGTTTTACCAGACCAAGCAGTACACCTTGACCCTGTCCTAAACTAGATTCATCTTGTAGAGGTCATTCAGTGCATAGACCACACTTTGTGGATAGAACCACCTTTTGGGAGGGTGAAATAAGGGGGGGGGGGGAGGTTTCAACTGTGAGATGTAAAAGTAAAGAGGTCTGGTCATGTGACCTTTCACACTAGATACATAAAATTGATATTGCTTAGAGTAGACGCTCTGTTATTTTATTTCAAAACTTCACTTAGCTACCAAAAGCCAAAACAATTCTTCTAGATGTTCCAGAAGTTAGAAAAAAATGTGGGATTAAATGGGTTAACCTTCATTTAACCAGGAAAACCATTTTGATTAAAAAAAATCTAATTTAAAAGAGTGTCCTGATTCTTTGTAAGTCCTAATATTTGTTTCTTTTGTTCAATTTCACTGATTAATGTTGAACTTTCATTCACTTATTAGATTCTCATAATTTTCTCATGATCTTCAGTTCATAAATTATTACATCAGCTTCATAAATATATGAATCCTAACTTTGAAAAAAGAAAAATTGGTACACTTTAGATTTATTTCAACTGTGCAATAGTTTGAGTACAAGACTGCTTTATATTAACCTAGTTTAAAACCTTGCAACCAGAAAGCATTAAAGAAACTCATTAGAAGCAAAGTTTAGGGAAATAAGAGATGACTGAAGACTTTTGCACAGATCTGAACTATTCAGACAATTCACATGAATGAATGAATTAATTCTCCTACTCTCTGATCGTCTCAGTCGAGTCTCTGACTCCATCATAATTGTAGTCAAAGATGGGTCCTACAAGAAGGTTCACTCCGTTCCTCTCAGTGGCGTATTTCTTCACCAGAGTTTTCTGAAAGTAAGTCCAGATTTCTGAGTGGGAGTGGCAGTGTGGGCAGAGAGCAGGATGTGGCAGACAGGGAGTGAATGGTGGAAATGATTATTAAAAACATTATTAAAACTTATGAGCCTAAAATGAGGAATACGTCAGGATTTCAGGAAGTGATAACTTACTCTTAAATGCAGGATACATGGGCACGGTGTTGGTGATGAGGAAAGCATCATGTTTTCTATCCAGGTTTGAGGAAAGCTCTGTGAAACACACACAAGATATTCCAACATATCCCACTGATAATTTTCTGTCCAAATCACAGTTATTCATGACTTTAAATCCTAATGAGATCAAGTGAAGTGAATGACTGCAATGTGACTAACTGTGAAAATCTCTCTCAGGGATTATGATAACTTTAGCGGTGTGTGGTGGTGTCCACTGACGTTGAGTGTGTTTTTGGAAGCCTGCGGCGGAGATTCACTTACGTGGCGGGTACAGGAAGGCATATGTGACATTTTTCTCTGCTTTGTAGTTGGAACATGACTGGCTGACGATCGGTGGGACTCTGGCATCCGGTCTCACACAGTTGGACAAAGACTCAGGCAGTGGAGACAACGCTACCTGGATGGTCAAAGAAAATCTTACCCCACTTTTACCACCAGGAGGTGCAAGTAGCAAGAAGTTTGTTTAGATCTTTTTAGTGTTTCACAGCAAGATTTTTGAGTATAGTACATGGAAAGAGTACACTTTGACAGTCCAAAATGAGGGGTCAGGCTGGGCAGTACCTGTCTGCTGACGGTGTAGGATGTCCAGAGGGGCATGAGCAGGGTTTCACTGTAGCTACTGATATAGTCCCTGTGTTGGAGGATGCTGTATTTGGTATGGAAGAGGACAGCAGGTCGGCCGTACGGCAAGTTCCTGCTGTCTGAGGGACGGAGCACACAGAGGAACAAGACACAGAGAGGCACTGATGTAACAAGGCCCATTTATATGGGTCAGACTGCAGCATGGAGGCTGAACCCTGCTGACAGCAGTCTGACTGAGGCAAACATCTGGCTCTTTGAGCAAATGCTTCATTTCACATGTCAGATATCAGTGAGAGTTTATAATTTAAAAAAATCCATCCTGAACTTTGTTACATCACGACCATAAATGTTAATGGGCCTTTATGGAATTTCATTTGTATGGAAGTCCCTTTTTGCCATGGAAGAAAAAAAAAAGTTATAGAGGAAGTCATAATTTCAAGTTTTAAAATCATGATTATGAGATTCTGCATGCATTCACACAAGCTCTGTTCAGTCTGCTTTAGTCGAACTCTGGTTCAGTTGTTTTGGGGAAGTGAGAATGCATAATCAAACGAAGAAACAAACTCTACAATCCGTCTCGGTTCAGTTGGTACGGTTAGAATACATATGTGAATGCTAAATTGACCAAAGAACACTCCAAAGGAAGGAAGTGGACTATAGCGAGGGGCATTCTGGGTAAACACAACCAAAACAATCATGTAAGACTGGCGGGAAAAATGGCTCATTGTCTTTTATCAACCACTGTAATCTGATGCCACTCCACTGTGTTTTCATTTCGTGAAGAAAGAAGATGCACTCAGTTATTCAACAGGTTTGGTTTGTTTCACTCAGTGCAGTTTGAAAGAGAACCACAGCAGCTAAAAATGGAACAAATTTTGCAGCTGTACTCCTCAATGAAACATAGGGCCTGAAACAATCTGCCAGACTGTCAGGTGAGAACATGTCCTCAAAGTCAAGATTATAAAATACTGCAGAAACAGCGTGACTTTTCTCATAATTACTGCTTTTATTATTGTAAATATAACTTTCAAACTTTTGAGCTTTTATTTTTTTTTTCTCATGGCAGCTTGGCTTCCATACATTTGACACACCAATAGAAATAGATGAATTACTATGAAGTGAAGTGAAAATGATACATGATTCTCAAAATGTTTATTTATTTATTTATTTCAAATCTTAGATGTCGCTGACAATTATTTTGGAACTGTACAGTTGTAAGACTATACTGGATAGAAATATACAAAAATATTGAAAATATCATTATTGTAAGAATGCCTTTTAAATTCATCACCTAACAAAATGTCTACCTGACAATACAAAATATCTGTGTCAGATATTAATTACAGCCTGTAAAAAAAAATCTGTCATCAGATGCTGGCTACGACCTGAACCTCCACTGTCGGAGAACGGACAGAGTGTGATCATGAAATCTATCAGATGGTCTATCTGATAAGAATTACTTAAAAGAGACGATTTGTCCTTCAGGAAGTGTTTATGTGCTGTATAATTTCCTTATATTAGTAAATACTGTAATACCCCCTTGTTTCCTCCTTGTGTCCTGTTTTTATTTATTTTGTTTTGTTGTTGTAAATGTTAGAGAAGATATTTTGTAATCAACCAGACTGGAATTGGAACTGTGACCTTGAGGTGCAATCAAACTTTTATAATCTCAATACTTCAAAAATAAAAAAAATATCAATAAGAAAAAAAATCATAGATGTGCACTCTATAAATCTCGTCTTTATGGAAGAGGGGCAGTTTGACATGCAGTGGACACAAACACGTGAAAGAAGTCTTTCTATCAGATTGGTCTACAACAGAACCTTGCATATTCATAGATTCACATGAGTAAATTTTTCTGTGAAATGTTGCTAAATTATTTATGGAACAAAATAACTGACCTGCAGACAAGGGAGCTTCACAAAGTGTTGTCTAAATTCAGTGGCAGGCTTCCCTTTTAGATTTTTATTTGTTAAAGAAAACCCTGGAACTGTGAATCATTCTCCTTTCCTTTCACTTCACTGCTATATTCTACTTCGTGTTGGTGTGTCATATAAACTCCTATTAAAAGGCGTCATAGCTACAGCCTGGTTTTTAGTGTGACAAAATGTAAAAAAGTTCAAGGAGTGCATTCACTGTTTCGACATATTGTATCTGTAAGTCTCATGACAAACTGACCATCAACAGCTTGCCTCAATCGCCGATTTAGCTCCTCAACTTTGTTCTGTAAGAGACAGAGCCAGAGTGACTCCAGGTTATAGCCTCGTACAAGGGTCACTTTCAAACCTCTCTGGCCCCTACTTTTTACACGCAACTGCAAAAAGATTGGAGATTGAAACAATCTCTTGCCAGAGATACATGGGAATAAGAAACACAGTGAAACAGGGCAGAACTGAGTCTCATTTAGCACAGAACAAACCAGTGGACTGGAAAACAAATTTTATATGCAAAAGAGAATATGAAATGCCTGTGCATTTGTTTGCCACAAACAGTGTGAACTGAAGATGAACTGACTTCAGCTCTGCTGTAGAAGGCAAGAAGGTAATGAGATTATTTCAGTTTTACAGGAAGACACAGAGTAACCCAGTACAGAATGTTTTGAACAAGTACTGTGGAGGACACAGGCTTACGCAGATGATTATTTTACAAGTCAATGAATAGTAAATCATGTAAAAATAAGTAATATTTAAACTGAATAAAAAGTCATCTTATTGTCACTTTATTTTGTTAGCAGGACTATTTGTTATGTCAGCTGGTTTTGGATAGATAGCCTAATTTGGATAGTCAGAATTTGTTTGTCATAAACTCAGCTTTAGCATTGTTTCAAGAGAGTTTTTCTACAAAATTAATATGTCACATGTAAATGAACAATCTGTGCTGCCATGGGAATAACTGACTGACTCCAGACCTGTTTATTCAGATTCTATTGATAAACTATTGGCCCCCCATACAGCGTCTTGCTAAGGGCCTCCACAAAGCTAGAAACGGCCCTGACTAAGACTTTTCTCCTGGCTGTACTTCTGATAAAGTAAAAACTGGAATTGTCCAAGTCTCTGACTGTGAGGTCATTCCTTACTCTGACTCAGTCAGTCCAAACGTTATGCTGAAACCATTCTTTAGTGGATCTGGATGGATGTTTGGGCTCACCATTAATGAAAAAAGAAAATCTCTTTTCATCGTCAGCCTTTCAGCAGACACCTAAAAGCAGGGGTGGAAAGTAACTGGTTACAATTACCCTGTTTACTGTAATTAAGTACAATTTGTCTGTACTTTTGACTGTAATTTTTATCAGAGTTCCTGTAATTTCTCTACATGACTAAATGTTAGAAGTTAATCAAACAATTTGTTCTGAAACAAATTCTTATGTTAAGTGTGTGCACACATTAAAATAGGTCTTGTCAGCTATACTCTATTTTTGCTTCCAAACAAACTGGTTTGTTATTCAGTTGAAGTTTATAAAAAAGATTTAAAATTATTTGCCAGGTTCTCCTTTTTTACAGGCCAAAACACAGTCATCCTGTCAGAGTGTGAATTTTTTTCCATTGTATTTGCATTATCAAACAGCCTTGAAATCTGTCATGCTGTTGATGCTTCGTATCAGAAGTTTTTCAGTCTGCTTGTGCTGGTCCTCCACTGTACCTGTGGAATTCAGTAAAGCAAAAACCAGGTATTCTTTTCAGGAGTATGACAGGGCTGACCTTTTCGTCGCAGTTGCAGCTCATGTCATCTGTTGCTCCAGGAACGAGGTTGTAGGCCGTTGGCCTGGACACCTCGTCTGGCATGGTAGGTCTAAAAGTTGGAGTTCTCAGCATAACGTTCAGACTGCCATGAGTTCCATTGTTTGGAGCCGGTTTTAGACCCAGAAGATCTGAGGTTGGAATAAATCAGAGTGAGATTGATTGATTGATTGATTGATTGATTGATTGATTGATTGATTGATTGATTGATTGATTGATTGATTGATTGATTGATTGATTGATTGATTGATTGATTGATTGATTGATTGATTGATTGATTGATTGATTGATTGATGTTAAAGCGTAAGGTGCTTATTAATGAACGTACAATGTTGTCATAAATGTGGCGGATTTAGCAAAATGCTGTTTCCAGCCATAGTCCCATAACACTGACAACACAAGGCATAATCATTCACAATGTTTTATACATAAAAACAAAAAAACACACAAAAAATAAACACAATATGTAAAGTCAGAAAATTCTACTTAAGAAGCTAATTAAAAATTTTTTTTACAAAACTGCGTCACAAAAATAACTACAACTAAACGAGCTAAACAAAGAGACGGTTCAACACCAAGCTACACACATAATGATGTTGTTCAATGTGTTTACACAGGATCTTTCACTCACTATCAGTCAATCTGGGGACTGCATGTTCCTTATACCCCTAGCATATTCCCTGTAATGCCTCCTTTAGATGTGACTATTCCTCACTGAACCTTTCGTGATGGAAACTCTGTGACTGTTTGTATGAATTAAGCCTTCCAGTTGCAGAAATACTTTCTAATCAAACACATGCACTGAGTTTTGAACTCAAACAAATTCAGAAACAGGCCTTACCACACATGACGTTATACAGCTCAATGTTTTCAAAGGGTGGAACTTTGGTCTTGAATCTGAATCTAGGTCCATAGCCCAAAAAAACAGTCTGAAACAGAAGGATGAGACTGATCATATATATGAACAAAAAGAATAAAGAAAGAAAATACTTTGCTTTTTTAATACTTTATGCACCAGTAAGTTTTATTCTCATATCATTGTTGCTGTAGTAAATGTTTTCTACTTAATTGAAACTTTAGAATAATTTGTAATAAATATGCTAACATTGTTGGCTTTTTGACACTGTTCTGGCATAGCGAATGTCTGCTGCTTATATAGTGGATGTAAGATGTGAAATACCTGCATGCTGTTGATCTTATTGTCATATCCATGGTCGCCTAACATTGCACAGGTTCCCCTCACCTTTGGGACTTTCCTGAAGTCAGGTTTGGATGAGATCAGTATCAAGTTATTGTTACAGTGGCTTTAAATTCCTCACACAGTCTGTGACTAAAGTTAGTGAAGTATAACTCAGATCATTCAACTCACTCAGAACAAACACATGAAGTTTTTCATCTTTCACAGAAAATGACTTACTCGAAAGAAATACTTCATTTATTAGTAACTTCCAGTTAAACACCCTAATGCCTATCAGTTTAAGCATAGGTTTGCATTTCAAATTAGTAAAGCCACAAGCATGTAAAAAATGTAAGAGTAACTGAGAGCATTTTATGATGTGAGAACATTTGGAGTTATATAGTCAGTAGTGGCTGTGTGTGTATGTGTGCATGGTTGCGTGCATGCGTGTGTACGTGTGTGTGTGTGCTGGGGGGTGTAAATGGTCCAACACTCTGCTCACGGCGCTGGTGCCAACGATTAACCTGTCTGTGGAAGGGAGCAACACAGAAACCATAAAGATTTCTTTCATCCAGTTGCTGTGCACTTCATTGGGGGAAACCAACAGACAGAATGTCAACAACCAAGACCAGTAAAGGCATCTGTGGTGCTGGCTTTACACCCTCTGCTGGGGTGGCTGTATGCTGTGTGGAAACCTCCTACAGGTCAACATCACAAGACTCAGTTCAGCTCAGCTTCCCTCAGTTCACTTTACATAAGTTCAGTTTATTTTAGTTTACTTAAGGTTGTGGTGTAATTTAGTTAACTTAATTCAGTTCAGTTTAGCTTAGCGTAGCTTAGTTTGGTTTAGTTTAGGTAATCTAGCTTAGTTCAGCTTTGATTAGGCTGGCTTAGTTTGGTTTAGATATGCTAATTTAGCAAAGCTTAGTTTAGCATAGTTTAGTGAGCTTAATTCAGTTTAGTTTTGCATAGAATTATTTAGTTTAATCTAGTTTAGTTTATCTTTAACTAGATTAAGGTAGTGTAGCACTAAGCTATTTTACCTTAGTGCATCATTAACATCTCAGCTTCTCCATTATTTCACACGTTTGGGGCTTTCATTACTCCAACTGTTAATATGTGGAAGGCGGTCACAGCAGTGTTTTTATTTATTTAAGCAGCAGGTTGTGTAAGAAAAATAGGCTGACTAATATTTTATTTATATTTTATATAACTGACTTTAATATGGTGCACCAACCACTTCAAGAATTTAAGGTGAGGTGGTGTTTTGTTAAAAAAAAACTAAACTCATTGTTTCGGAACCACAATTACTTTTGGTTTGATGAATTTAACTTAGGTGACAAAAAGTTTGTCAGTACATCATATAAAACAATCTTCAGGACTATTGTTTTTGTGCATGTAAATTAACACTTTACTACTTGTGCAGTTAAGACTGAATATCAAGTGCAGCTGCTGCAGTAGTTCTGTCACCGTACTTGACCACTCCCCAGGTCTTCTCCACCATCAGGTGAACGTCTTCAATACGCCGATTGTTGGCGTAGTGCAGTCTCTTAGGCAGGTGCTGCTTCAGGTATGGCTTAAAGTGCTGCTCTGCCGACTTGCACTGTTGAAGAAATCATTTAGATGATGCATCTTCACAGAAGACATCAAATTACATGCATTTCCACTTCTTCATTTCAGACCTTCATATTCTGAACAAACATTTTACTCACTGTAAGACTTGCAACAACAGCCTTGGGGTCATCTGAAAAAAGAAAACATATGATCGCACAAATTGTTGCAGTTTCTGAGAAATGGATATGAGAAGAGTAAGTTTGAAATGTTGGCTTAATCTTTACATCCTTTCATTCTAAACTGGTTGGTTGATTGAGAAGTCCATCACAGGTTCTAAAAAGACCTTAAAGGGACTCTTGTTTTCTTTTTTTCTGTGAGTTCTTATGTGGAGAAATACAGGCACTTTTCCTTTAAATGCAGTTTGAGAAGTTATTTCTTGAGCTTTTATGATTTAGGCTCAGTGACGGAATGATGGGGGTAGGTTGACCCGAACCCACTAAGATAAATGGAACGAGACAAATCCGGTGAAAAGTGGAACAATGTTTCTGCTGATGCCTGAATGTACAGTCAGGCATCAGCGGAATATTTCCTTTAAGGCAGGAATATTTCCTTTAGTCCTTGCTCAGTCAGAGAGCCTGTTTGTTCCTCGACTCCTTGTAACATTGCATCTGAAGCACATTGCAGGAAGAATTCAGAGAGTTGCTTTTCTTCATTACATGTTCTTTAAGCTGGTTCTGAAATGCTGATCATCAGCAGCATTTCAGATAAAACAAGATAGAAAAAGATCCCTAATTTATCAGTTATTTACAATAATTCTTGTGTGGTGCGTTTTATTTCTTTAATATTATTTATTTATTTCTGTTTTTAAAGGAGACAAAACAGAACTTTTCACTCACATCTGGGATTGTTGGGCAATCTGGAGCGTATTCTCCCAGCAGGCCCAGGGTTGAGGATGATGTCATCAACAGAGGTGATATAGTTGGTGAGGGCATCTGTACGATTACAGTTTGCCTCTTCCATACCTGAAACATCACAGGAGGAGAAGGCTGGTGTGAAACTCTGAAGGATACAAACTTTTCAATGATGGGAATTTTCTAATTGGGTTCTTGCTTTCCATTTCTGGAAAAGCCTGTAGGCTGGAGTTCATCTTACTCAGTATCTTCACTGACAGACTGATTCTCCTATTGGCTGACCCACTTTATACTACCAATCATTGTTTGTAATCAACCAGCAACATCACTGTGGAAACAGACACAAATATAAGTTTCAAAGTCATCGTTTCCAGTGTTGATCTTAGTCCTTCCTGTCTTCTGGAATTGTTGATTATAATCATCTGACTGATGGTGATCCATTCCGGTCTTCTGAGTTCTTGGACTTGGCTCCAGTTTGTTGTCTTGTGTTTCTCCTACAAAAGATTTATTAAGTTTCCACTGATTTATGGATTTATGGAGTTTCCACACCACAGATCCAAATTTTCAACCTTTGAGCCACTCTGTTATAACGTTAGCCATGTGACACTGAGCTCCATCATGCTGGAAAATTCACCAATCATGACTAAGTTGTTCCTTGGAAAACATTTTGTTCCCATTCTTTATATTCATGGGCAGAAGTAGGAGGAAGTCTGCTGCTTTCTTGGAGACACAAACCCAATCCGAGGCAGTTCATTTCTTCTTCTCTGGGGAAATTATTTTTCACTTCTCCAGAAATTAAGATAATTTCTGGAGAAATGATCTCCCAATCAGATGGAAGATTGATCAGAAGATTGATCAGAAAAGACAGCTTATCAGAAATTGAACCAAAGCCTTTTGACATCCTACAGATTAATCTCCACAATGTGAATTTCAACTTGGTGCACTTGATGATCAAGAAAGCTGTTACTTTGTCTGTAATATTCCCAGTAGTTGTTCCCTGAAAGCAACGACAATGAATACCAACAATTCCCCCAGGAAGGTAAATTGCAGTGAAGGTAAACTTTTGATATCAAGGAAGTTTGGCAGTCCTGAATTTAACTGTTAAAAATAATGAAGGTACATTTAGACCAGCCCTGTTGAATCGAATTCATGGCTGTTTGTTCTGGAAGTCCAGGTAAGTTGGGTTAATGTACGCTTGAACTCTGGTCCACTTAAAGACACAGATCTTGGTCCTATTCAAGTAAACTAAATGCAGGGAGCAGAATAAACTACAGGGCTTTGTGGGTAAACACAACCAAAACAAAGGCTTGCATCGCCATCCGCTAGTTAATAGCTGTGACAGAAACATTGTCAGATCAGGAAAATGGAGGCTGTGGGGCTGAATCATATAGTAGAGCAGTGCCACACAAAGCTGAAAACATCACGAGCTGCTAAGAAGAAGCTCATCATGTTCAGGAGACAGACAGGACAAGCTGGGGACCACCTCAGGCGAGGAGGGGAACACATCAAAGGCTCCGGTTTCAATGTGGCAACCCAACCATATCATGTCTACTGGGCTATTAGTTATAGAAAAAACACACCTGATCAACTGATCAGGTGTTTTTGAGTTGATCACATTAGAAGCTCTTCAGGTAAAGAGATAAATAAAAAGATGAACAATCAGAATTTCTGATGAGGGTTTGGGCTCAGAGCCTGGGTCTGTACCGTGGTCTCCCACTATGATGATGTTGACACATCGGTGCAGTTTCATCTGCTTCAGTCCGTCCATCAGCTTGCCCACCATCCGATCAACTGCCTGCAGAATCGTGTTAAGCTGGAAAAGGATAAAGGAAGCCTTGAGCGACCAAACCCACTCAGGATCAGAATCTCCTGGAGCAAACGTACTCACGGCTGGACTCTTTGGGCCCACTCTGTGTCCAGTAGCATCTGGTTCCTCAAAGTGCATGCCATAAACATAGGGCCTGAAACAGAATACAGGTGAAATGGGTGTTAACTGAAACTGTGGTGTCTTCTAAGCCAATAGTTAATACTATTGGTTCATCTAATCCTGAGCAGAAGATTGTCTATGTGTCAGATATGCTTAAGAACTGTTTTCAAATGATTTCATTCATCAAAGGGGAAAAAAGAACTTCTCCAAACCAACCTGGCTCTATGTGAAGAAGTTATTGACCACATTGTTAAATCATGAAGTAACTAAAAATATGATGTTTTTTTTCAATTTCCCTTAGCCCAGGCCTGATTACTGCCAAATCTAAAGAAACAATAAATTACTTATGTAGAACTCTTTATATCACCAAAAGAAATTCAAGAACAGATGAAAAACAAAGTCACAAAGAAAAACAACCAAATGAGAGATTTGGAGTGACCCAGTAAAAGTCTGGACTTTAATTCTACTAGGAGATGTGTATGACCAACACCATTTTCCAGCATGGTTCGTGTTGGAAAATGCTCCAACATGAGAGGTTCCTGTGTTACTGGACAGAGAATGGAGCAAAGATGAACAGACAAGCAGCAGCCACAAATATACTGTGAATGGATGCTTTTCCATTCTTTTCTGTTGATGAAATTATTAAAGTCTCTGAAAGAGAGCAGCCATTTTGGATATTCAGTCATAAAATACAGTTTATGCTATCAAAGACAACAGGAGAAAATAAAGCAGATTCCAGGTAACAGGATAACATGTAGGACGTCATGACCAAGACACATTTCTAAACTTTATTCCAGAAATATAAATGACCAAGAACAAGTTCAGAATGATGTTTTGAACTTGAAATGTGTAAGTTGGGAACTTTGAACATGAACAAATTCAAATTGATCTGACTGAACTGAATTTAAAACTAGTTCTTGTTCAGCACAAACTGCAGTAACACTGTCAGGTTTAGAGAGTGACTACTTGTTTACATAAGCCTGGGCTGACTGATGATCAGTAACACCATAGAGACTAGAGACTAAAAAGCAATGACAGGACAAAAATGCAAACTAGGATTGTTTCAGTGAGAGGAAAGTATGACCAGAGACAACATATGTGTGAACGTGTGATCACCTCTCTCCTTCAGGGAGATGAAGCCACTGCAGCAAAGTCAGGATCCTTCTCTCCCAAGAAATGGTCCTACAAACAAACAGAAACACATTCTGCTGTGAAAGCCTCCACATTCTGATATCAATTCTAAAGCAATGAGGGAGAAACATTTTGGACAAACAAAAGATTTTTTAATAATTACATTTTACATCATTTTCAACTTTGCAGGAAAAAAAATCCTGATCCCAATAAAAGCTCACACTTATTCTGAAGTTTGTTGAAGAGAAGGGATGAATTCACTCAGCTGATTTTCTCAAACAGAAAAGTATTTTCCAAGCGGGACAATCAAACGTTACTATATTTTGTGGTCTACCACATGTGTATGTTTTTTTTCTCACTTTCTGAAGTTTAATCAGACCTAACTTTTCTTGTAGAATCACCAAAATTATTTCTATGAGTTATATGCCAGTAAAACAAATAAATATGTTGTATGAAATGTATTTATTAATGTTTTGCGAAGTAAAGAAACTTCATGTTACAGAAAAACTATCACCGGTGGTCATATTTTCTCTTCTAAGCATTCATGACAGAATGCATGAATGCTCTCTGTCATTCATGCATTCAGCAGAAAGCTAGCATGAGGACGTATGCAGCACACAGGAAAAAACAGCGTTAAAGGGTTAAGAGAGGAGCCATGTTGAGACAACTTCCTGACTCCTGCGCTTTCTAATTTCACACCAATTTTAAGATTTTAAATCATATTTGATATCGTTAGCATTGTATAACAAATGAAGGTAACATAGTTACTCGATTGTGCTATAAAATGCCACAAAAGGTTTGAACGATCCTAAGTTAGAGCGTTCCGGCTTTCAAGCCAAAGCTGCCTCTGTGAAGTGGTGAGGACCCGGCCAACTTCCTGGCTCTCATACAGTCTCCAGCTGTCAACCATCAGTCCTCAACGTTTTGCTTTTTGTAGCTGTCAACAAGGCATTGTAGTGTATTTGAAAAGATAAATATCTGCTTGGGTTTTTGGATATTTGAACATTATTCCTGGTAGAATTGTTGGAGTTCTTATTAACTAATTGGCTTCCTGTTATGGACCAGGTTTTCAATCACAGTCCAAAATCATTTTAAGTTTGAGGGCAGGGCCGTTCCAGAGGGTTCTGCTTTTTTATGAGTGTTTTGGATCACTGCACTGTTATAACACTGTGACAAATTAGTAATTATATAGTGAGAAATCTACAGTCTGTCATTTCATCATTTTAATGTAAAATCTGTTGAATGATGTAAAAATTAGGGCTGCACAATTTTAGAAAATAGTGCAATGATGATAACAATTGTGATATGTGCTTATTTTCTAACTCATCTGGTCATCCATCACTCTATGACCTTTAGCATTGTGGGTAATATCATTAGTGTTCAATGTGAACATCTGCAGCTATAAGTCTCTGTCCAACAAGCTAAGATCATATTCACATGTAAAATGCAAGTTCAACATGCAAGTAAATATATTAGCCAACAATTATTGCACTCATCATTGTGCTTGGCAATCTTGGCACAAACTAATATTGCAATAACTAAACATCTGCAATATATTGTGCAGCCCTGGTGAAAATCGTCAAGTAAAACCTGATTGTCAAAATGTGGTGAAGCTTTTCTTATTTACTAGGTGATGAAGCTGTGGATGTGCAGAATTTTCATTAACCACTAGGGGCTAGCTATGAAACACAATCATCCACAGCCTGTGAACCACATTTTAGATATTAATATGATACAAAATTTTTGCTGGAGCTCTAAGTTTTGTAAATACATACAAGATTGTTTTTACATGGCGACTGTCTCCATGTAAAACATGTAAAACTCAGTGGCGACGTGTTCATGTGTGAACTTACACGGGCCAGAAGAAGCTGGAAGATTTCATTCCCTGTTTGACGGCAGTGATCCAGAGCTGAATGAAGAAAATCTCAGTTAATTATCATGATGTTTCAACTTATATGAAAGTGTTAACAGGGAGCTAATAACTGTTCTGTTAGATTAATTAATTCTTTCAGATCTATATTTCTCCCAAATTTGTGTCCATTATTTTTTCTGTAAGAGTGTCTTACAGACAATATATGTATTGGCTCCCCCTATAAATTTGTGCAAAAAGCTGAAAATTGTATTCATTTTTAGAAATAGAATTACAATATCAAGCTAAAAAACCGAGAAACATCCAAACTTTAAGTTGAGGACATTTATTGAGTGGAGAAAACAAACAAAAACATTTCTCTCATTTGATTAATCTCATCAGCAACTTCTAATTACTAATCCACAATTTTCTGTTTCCCTGGGGAGTAAATATGAAGTGACACGGAGCGGAGGCCTAAATGTTTTCGGCTGCTGATGGGGAACCACTGCTACAGAACAGTAGCAAAGTGTTACCATAACAACCACTAAGTGCCATCTGCGATCTTTAAGTATCTTTGCAAATGCGAAGGCTCAACTGAGTCTAAATGTATTTAGACTCCGTTGACCCTACAGACAAATGCTGGGCCTCTGCAGGGACTTACTGGTTCTCCTCCCCACCAGCGGTGGTTCAGCTTTTCTTTGTTCTTCAGGTTGAATGTTGCACTAAATGTTGAGTCATACATGGCGTTTCCAACGATGCCATGAGACTCTGGATAGAGACCCTTAAATGAAACAATTAGTCATATATGTTATTTACTTATTTAAAAACCAACTAAGTATTAATATAGGTATGCAGTGCAGATATCAATATTTGTAAGGATAAACTGAAATCATACTCACTGTTGAAATTGTATAGAGATTGGGAAAGGTTTTGGAAGGATAAACAGGCCTCATGTAAGGAGCGTGGGTTCCACATCTTCCTAAAGAATAACAATTTTTAAATTTGATTTAATAAACAGTCAGCCGTGGCTTTAACACAATGTACAAAACTCAAAATTCTGTTTAAAGGTGACTGGTTTTGTGCATTATAGAATAATTATTAGTAGAAATTGGTAGCCCATTTAAAATACAAGAAAAATGAATAAATACATTGATAAAATGCAGGGAACTGACAGATTTTTTTTTTGTTTGTTTGTGGAAAGCAGGTAATCTAGTCTCTCAGTAACTTTCCCAGCATCAAGCCTGGGCAACTTCCTGCACTGCACATTCATAACAAAGATAAGCTAAGAGGGATTTGGTTGTGCTGACAATATCGTCCCTCCTTCATAACATAGAAGGATATTATTGTGTCCGTGCTGCATGCTTCATTTTGAAGATGTTAATTGAAGACAATAAAAAAGATGCGAACTCACTGAGTTTTTCAATGTTAGGGATGATGGTTCTCCCCTTTTTCATGTAAGACGCTCTGAACCCATCCATGGACAGTATGATGAGAGGCGAACGCGCAAAACTGCACATGGAACAAAACAAAATGTGAAAGGTAAAACTTTGACAGGCTTTTGTAATCTCATTCCTTTCTTCAACACTGTGAAGGTTTCAGAGATTAACATACCCAGCAGGACACTCTGGGCTCCTGATCTCCTCACATTCGCCTTCCAGCCAGGAAGTGTCTCCTGAAAGGATCCGAAACGGAGGCGAAATGCAGCAGCATCCACATTCCAGAAAGCCGAAACATTCCTCAACTTTAATAAATTAAGCAGCTACTGCAGCGAACACGTATCTGCCTGATTAAACACATTTTAAGCTCTTTTTTTCCAAATGAATATTTCTTATTAGAAAGAAATTACTTGAGTAAATTCAAAATCAAATTCAAAGCCACTTCATTTGATTTGTTTTTCTTCACGAAAAACAATGTCATAAGGGCAAATATCAGTGTCATTTACTGAAATGAATGACACTGATATTTAACCAGCTTTGAACTTTCTTTAAGGAGAAAAGCGTCCAATCGAGTTGTTAAATCAAGAATGAACTATAATTGATTATATTTCTGTAAAGCTGAGTCGGTTTTACAAACTACACCCAGGTTCAGTAGAACCAAGAATTACTTTCAACAGATCACGCCTAACAACATAAAGTAGTCAATAAGATCTCTAACAACAACACATCATGCCCTGATCAAAAAAGTTAAAAAACAGAAGAGAAACAAATTCTCTGGCATCGATTAGTCTGGAATGGGTGATGAAGTCATTTTAGAACTCCAGAGAACCACAAGGAGTCACATCTGATATAGATAGCATATTTATAACAACTGAAGTTAACATATCTATTGATTGTGATATAGAAAACACATAATATTGCCCCTTTAAAAATATCTAACATCAGCCAATACCGATGTTGATGCCAGTATATCGCGTATCCCGATCACAGACTTGACCGCAGCTGCTGCCGAGAGTGGCTTAGGGGTAATTACTTTTTCAGAAAGGCTCAGGTTGTTTGGTGTAGTTTTCTCTGACAAACTCTAATCATCATCTAAAAACATTCTTCGCTGTTTTTTAGGTAAGGTGGACTCTCCAAACCTTTGCACATCTTCTTGTAGTTGGTGCAGCAGTCTCCCCTGGCGAGGCAGTCTTCAGAGCAATGGCAGGCGTGCTGTTCATTCCGGGTCTCGCCGCATCGCTCTTTGGTGCATTCATAACCTCCTTCTGTATCCAACAAGGAACAGGAAGCAAGAAGGAACAACTTTTGACTCAACAATCTTTATGGAGTTCCAACTAATCTTAGAGATTATTGTGAAAAGCACGACATCATGGTGGCAGTGAGTGGCTGGGCAGTGGGCAGGCAGTCTGGGGTCTGTGGTGACTTTTGTGGCTTAAACAGTTTTCCTTTTGACCAGAGCTTTTATTTGGGATGTGACACTGTCAGGGAAAATTGCATCATGGTTTTAAGACACATGTAGGATTAAAGTGGCCAATCAGCAGTGAACCAAAGACCACCAGGCTGAAGGAGGGAGCATAAAATCAGACCACCAGTGCTGAAAGTAGCAGGGGGGAAAAGTTGACACAGCAGAGGGAGAGAGAGAAAAAACAGCAAACCTGTTTCAGCATCATTAAGTGTAGCTTCCAGCTCATACAGCTGAACCATCAGCTTGATAGTTTTCTGTTATTTTTGTAATGAATAATTTCTTTCATGTTGAAAACTATTTAGAGATTACATCTCTGCTGAACAAATGTTCCTCTTTCAAACCCTGTTATTTGTTGCTATGATTTTATGCACTGCTTCAGGAAAATCATGCTCTTTCAATAATGGAAATGTTTCGATCAGAAATGCTGTAAATCCTGCTTCAAACAAAAGAGCCTCCAGTTTTTATGCACGTAAATAAAATGGTGCCATATTGGAAGGTCAACATGGAGCTACATGCTTTAAAAAAAGGCAGACATGAAAACTAAAATGGATGTTAATGATCAGCACTGCTGAGTGGAGGCTGCATGGTGCAAGAATCAGTACTTTCTGTACAGTTTGCATATTTTCTCTGATCATATGTGGGTTTTCTGTGGGTGCTCTGGTTCCTCCCACAGTATAAAGACATGACTGCTAATGAACTACGCTCTTTAGCTGCCGTTTTGTCAACATGGATGTTTTTTCACTGTCTCCATGTTTCCCTGGCAACCTTTTCCAGGTGAGACTCACCTCTCACCTCAGGACCTGGAGGCAGGAACCAGATGACCTGAACTGGCAGGGATAAGCAGACATAAACTGTGGCTGTGTTTTCAGAGTCGTCTCCCATTTTTTGCAACCATTTCATATGGTAGAAGCCAGACCTAGCTGGGTGTTGCTCACAGGTAATTAGATTGGCAGCTGACCACATTTGTTGATTGACCGGTGGATTCACATCACTGACAACGTCTCAACTAACGTTTTCAATCTGTAATGAGAGCCGTAGCTGTTGGTGAGACAATGAACAGCAAATAGATAATTCCATGGTCAATCTTGAAGGTTCAAACCTTTTTAAACCGCCTTCAGCATCAACTGGACTGGGGAACCCGCAAGATCCGAATATTCAGAGATTTCAGAGAAACTGGCCGCTCAACCCAGCACACACACAAATGACATCACCGGGGCATCAAGTATAGCTCCTGTACACTCATGGTATGAATTTGCACATCGCCCCCACGTTACTATTCATGTTCACCCCCACATGGTGAGGAACACATTACCAATGGAGACACGCCCAATGTGGCTATAATTAAACCAGACATTAACTAGTGAGATTTCACAATGGAAAAGATGCTTTATGTAGCTAATACTTCTGTTAACTCCACTTTTTTTACAAAGTATCCAGCATCAAGGATAACTTTCTATTGGAAAAGAACTCCTCTTATGGTGTTTTCCTGGCAGTACCAGGAAAACATGGTACTGCCACTAACTAGAAACTTTAAATACCGGGTGATGAGGACAGACTGACTGTAATCTGACGTGGATCACTGAGGAGCTGCTGCGGCTCCATGAGTCCCAGCAAAGAGATGAGAGGAACAGTGCAGGAGTGATACGGTGTTGAGGTGTCACAGGTTAGCATGAAGGCATGTTTGTGTTGCCATACCTGTCCGGAGGCAGAGCTCGTTGAAGTCTGAGCAGCAGCCATGGTAGCTCTTACACAAGTTGTCACAGCGACAGTTTGGGGGCTTGTTCTCCACTAACTCATAGCATCTGTTCTTGCAGGAGCCGGAGATCGGTACATAGCCAGCTGCCGACAAGAGAAACAGCTTCAGGAAGAATATCTAAACCTCAGGTCATCTATGTCATTCAGGGCTTGAAATAAAATGCATCTGGTAGAACGTCAAGCCCTGTCACATCTGTGAAGTGTCAATTTTTACGCTCCCGTTTCATACAGTGTTTGTCTGTTGGAATAAAAGCTGTAAACTTTTCAGTGTTCCACTGCATCTGGGATAGGTTGGCATCATTTGCTCTGATGAGCAATGGAACAGTCTCATTTGATACTTACTGATCAAATCAAGGGTGTTCAGTTCTCCAACATTTAGTGTGACCCCTTGACCTTTCCAAATGGTCAAATACTTATGTCAACACATTCAGCTGTAGAGGTGTACGGTGCTGTTATTGGCTGCTGATATGATGACAGAAGCCACACTGCTGCACAGTTTACACATGAAGAACTAATGTCAGGTCAGTGGAGAAAGCTCCAGTTTTCAGGAGTTTTCTAGTTCTAGTTCTGAAGTGTGGATGCTTTGTCAGCTAACGTTCTGAAAATTCAAACAACACTTTTACAGTTTTTCCATGTTTTGTTATATCACAGCCTTATTTCAAATTGTGCTAAATGAATGTCTTTCCTCAAAAGCCTGAAGAGAAAAATACTGTGGAAGCAAACTGATGTCAATAAACTCATCGAGGTAAGATGCTAAACTAAAGCTACAATTTAGCTTCTCGTTTATTCCTTAATGTCTTTATATTGAGGCCTGCTGAGTTGCTTTTAGAACTTTCTGTTCTTTTCAGGTGATTTATGGGGTTGACCTGTGTGATGCTTATTAATACTGAACTTTGCTTAATAATTATTAATGATTTAACAATTTACCAGAGGGACAGATTGCTTTGGACTGCTCTAATTAATTAAAGAAGCTATATTTGAAATTTACTCAGGTTATCTTGTCTTGATGATCTAAAACATCAAATCTGAAAGCAGGTAAATACCTTTTCACACTGTTGTTGGCTAGGTTATGTATTTTATTATTTCCTAATAGTAAGTTGTGACAATGATTATGTTAGATGTACAATAAACACATGCTGAGGTGAAAACTGATCAAAGAAAGAATTTAGAGAAAAAGTGGGTAGTGGATGTGTTTGGTTGGGGAATCATGGGAATAAAATCACAGTGCCAATGTCTGATTAAAGTCTGTCTTGGTTTGAGAGTGGACAGACTTGGAGGAATAAGGGGTGGAGAATGAACTCCAATGCTCTCCTTATGCTGACTATAGGCCGATCAGCATCATACACTCTGTCTCTGTGAGGGAACACAAGTCGACCAATCACAGCTTCCCTCGGCTCACAGAGATCTGTTGTAAACTCCCCACCGTGTTCCACTCCCTCACTTCGTTTGCACTGGCACACAGGTCCCGTCTAACCGCAGGTTGCTTGCGTTTTCAGGACCCATCTAATGAAAACAGACAAGGTTGTCGTGGTAACTGATGTTTGTGTGTTTCAAGTGAAAATATATTGCTTTTCTAAAACCAGGAAGACAGAGCACACCGCCCCAGTACTTCCATTGAGAGAATAGAGAAGGTTATAAACCACAGAACGGCTTTACACCACAACACACTAAAAGTCTGCTGTTGATCAACCTTCCTCTGCATCTCCAGAACCAGAAGCAGCGTTCAGTTTTTATGCTTCTGTTTCAACTCAGTAACTTAGTGCTGAAACACTAAGTCACTTTTTAAGTCAAGGCTAAAAGCCCACATGTTTAGAGCTGCTATTCATTGATAATAACTGTATGGAATGATATATTTGGTCTATACTTGGTTGATGATTGTGATGAAGGCATTAGACAAAATGTAATGTTTATTACTTGTTTCATAATTGGTTACAGTTTTATGTAGAGCACTTTGTTTCTGAAATGTGCTAAACAAAACTTGACTTAACTTCCTTAAACAAAATATTTCAGAAAAACATACACATATATACATATATATAAATATATATTTAGATGTGTGTGTGTGTGTGTGTGTGTGTCTGTGTGTGGGTGTGTGTGTGTATGTGTGTGTGGGGGGGGAGGAATAAGGGCTTGCGTGGGTGTGTGTATAAAATGTTTAAATTCATACTTTCTGTCGATCCAACATTCAAACTCCAAAAAGTTTGAGTTGGAAAGCTGCAGCTGTGACGTTTTAAGATTACAGTCAGCTCCAAGGTTACTTACATGAATTCATCAAATTAATCATGAAGTAGCACAGTGTGTAAATAATGTTACAGAACGTCCTTCGACCTCATCTTCACACAAAATAACACAAAGAAAAAATAAGTTCTTTGTCTGAAACAATTTGATTCCAGTCAAAAGAAGCTGCAGAAATCTTCAGGGACTCTTGTTGTTTTTGCTTCATGTGGGTTTTCTCCTGCACAGCTCTTCAAATGTTCAATAGCTGGTAGAACATCATTTCCCAGCAGGCCGAGCACCACTTGCCCAGCCTCTGTGCTATTCTCAGTTTAGGCTTTCAAACCACAAACTTGATTTCTATCACTTCTGACATGATCAAGCCAAAGTTGGAATGATCTTCCACCTCAGGTTTCATGAACATTTTTCCCTCTCACACGAAGGATTACAGACTGAGATTTTGTGTTCTTATAGCTACATAGAAAATCATGTTAGTTTTAGCCTATTGCCACCAAGCTTAGACACAGCAGGGAGCCTGTCAGTCTGGCTTTTCATCTCATATCTTCAGTCCAAGCTGAAACCAGCTGATTTGTGATTAAATGTTACTTTTAATGTATTTTTTTTATTTATCAGAAGAAAAGTATGTCAACAATGACAAAGTCCTTGTATGGTATTAGCACACTTCTACTTTTCAGGAACTTGAAAACTGCCTACATAAAACATATAAACTGTTTGTGATAATTCTCACATCTTAGAGCTCATAAGTACAGAACTGTATTTATTTATTTTCAGAAATTTATTAAATGCTTTCTACAGCCAGTAAAACTAATCTAAAGCATCTCAGTTAAAGACTAGACTTTGACTAGGCCGTTCAAAAATGACCTGCTTTTATTTGTGTTTTGATGAATACAGAGGTGGACTTGATGTTGTGCTTTGAATAACTGTTCTGTAGCACAACCCAACTGTGCATAGGTTTGAAGTTATGAATGGAGAAATATCAACATTTATGTTTTTATTAATCTGGAACCAGAAAGTAATTCTGTTCCACCATCTACCTCCATGTTTTACTCTTCACCTTTAATAAAATCACCGTTCAAAATTTGCATTTGTTCTGTCTGGTTATGTATGTCTGATACTAATGCCTCTATATGATTTGAACTGGGGCAAAAGACTTTGAATATGTGCTTTGAATTGTACTTTATACAAAAGTCATAGGCGAATTTCTTTTTAAATCCTGGGATTTTGATGAATATAAATATTTAAGAATTGAAAATTAGGCTAATGCATGAAGCTAATGCTATCATGCATCAATACATGTCATACGACTTCTTACTGATGTATTGTAGAATTAGTAGAAAAATTTGTCTACTGTAAAATTTAGACAAATTTTGTCTAAATTTGTCTAAATTTAGACAAATTTTTCTATAGCCTGTAGCCAGAAAGTATTGCGTCTATACAGTCCCTTCTCAAGGGTGTGGGTTCAGGAGCCCGCACCCTTGTAAATACAGACAAGGTTGTCGTGGTAACTGATGTTTGTGTGTTTCAAGTGAAAAACACACAAACATCATGTTTGTTTCTGGATCTGAAACATTCAAATCTTAAAATACTTTTTCACAGCTGCATATGAAAATATATAGAAGACCCGTTCAGTTAGGACTTTCTAAGAGACTAGGCTGTTTTATTGACAGCTATGATTGAAAACTGTTCCTGTGTTGTCATCTCACACTGATGTCCTCCTTTCCTTCATCGTAATGATGGGGTCCACAGCCACATGCGGCTCATTGACAGGCAGCAGGAAGGAAACTTTTCAATGACATGATCCCAGAGGAAGCTTTGTTCTACACACACACACACGCACGGAACTCAAGGCCAAAGTCACAGTGTACTCACTCTCCGGGCTGGTTCCATCTTCTCCTGAGCGCTTGGGCCGGCCGAAGACAAAGGCCCAACACAGGTCCGAGCTGCACAGCACCAACGGCATCCACACACACTGAGGGGACAGCAACCAGCCTGACATTACAACACACTCTCACACTTCAGCTGTTTATCTACCAACTGCAAGGCAAAATGCAAGCTGACTGCCTCAGCTGCAGGAGGCTGCTCCTGCACCCTCTCAGATCCCACACACACCCTGGGCAGTAGAGACCACCCACATGCCAGAAGCTTGCAACTGACACACACACATCCAAAATGGTTCTGTAGCTGGAAATGAGAAACCAGAGGAAATATTCCAAAGCTAGACAGAGGCGCGCAGAGCGACACAGCAGCATGTCTTACCGTACCAGTTTCTGCAGCAACATGCTTCCCCCTGACAGCAGTCCTGAGCTGAGGGTCCGAGACACTTCAGGAGCCAAGGACCACTGGGGAGGAGGGCATTTAAACAGAACCAGAGGGAGGGGCCAGAGAAGCGGACCGGAATCCCATTGGATTGGATGTGGAGGAGGAGCTCCTGGATGAGCAGCTCCTGGATGAGCTGGAAGTTATGGGGGGAGAAGGGGTGCCAAAGGGTCCCATCCTTGATCATACACTTCTATGCAAAATGGTTCATGTCCCACTGATTTCACACTGTCATAATTTTAAATTTTTTACATTATGAGACAGAACAACTCAGGGAACAGCAAACTTCCAAAGTGCAAGAAATCTGTTGAAAATCTGAAAATGTGATTTTGTTGAGCCCCACTGAGTCCAGAACCAGTAAAACAGTAAAGCACAGACCTGTCTGCAGGGACAGCTCAGCATGTCAGATATGATGGACAGCTTCTGGAAACCAGACTCTCTGTTAAATTTAGGCCTGGCCCACAGTGTCCAAAGTGTGGCCTGCGGGCCGTTTGTGTCACCATTGTCAAATAAATTTGTCCCACAAATGTGTTAGTTGGTGGTTGAAGCAGATGGAAACTGTAGTTCTATTTCATCCCTACTGACCGCCAGAGTCATGATCACTCTTGAATAATCACTCTTGCTCATGCACAGGTCGAGAATCTTATACCAACACGGTCACATGTGACCCCCGGTGACATCGGTAAGTCTATATAGTCATGTGACAATGACAGCTCAGTCCCTTCTCATCTTCTCGCATGCAGGTTGAACAGGTGATATTTGATTATTTGCTTGTCGCTGGCAGCCTCAAGACTACGAGGATTATCTCGCCCTCCAGTGGTTGCGCTAGCTCCTCTTTGACACATCTTTGTTCTTAATTTGGTAACTTGTTTTTTCTTTTTGATTGGGGGGAGCGGGGCCGATTCTGACCAGCTTGTATTGTTTTGGCTTGTATTTGTAGTTTGCAGCTGCATTCAGATTATTTTTAGTTTGTTGTATTGCGGGATTCCTTTTTCGTATATTGTGCCGCAATATCTGGCTGTCTGCCAGATCATAAAATCCAAGTAGGATCATAGCCCCTTCGGGTTTGATTTTGTAACATTGTGCAGCTATGTTCAGCTTGCCTATGTTTTTGTTACATAGCAGTTGTTTTGGGCTTGCCTTTTGTTACATTGTGCAGCCGTGTTCGGCTTGCTTATATTTTGTTAATCGTAGCTGCTACGGGTTTGTTTTTGTTACATTGTGTAGCCGTGTTCGGCTTGCCTATTTTTTTGTTACATAGCAGCCATTTTTGGGCTTGCTTTTTGTTACATTGTGCAGCTGGGTTCGGCTTGCCTATTTTTTTGTTACATAGCAGCCATTTTCGGGCTTGCTTTTTGTTACATTGTGCAGCTGGGTTCGGCTTGCCTTTTTTTTGTTACATAGCAGCCATTTTCGGGCTTGCTTTTTGTTACATTGTGCAGCTGGGTTCGGCTTGCCTATTTTTTTGTTACATAGCAGCCATTTTCGGGCTTGCTTTTTGTTACATTGTGCAGCTGGGTTCGGCTTGCCTATTTTTTTGTTACATAGCAGCCGTTTTGGGCTTGCTTTTTGTTACATTGTGCAGCTGTGTTTGGCTTGTGTCATTGAGTGTTTTACCTGTGCTGGGTTTGTACTTTTTCTGTAGCTATTGTGCTTGTAGTGCTCCTTGCAGCTTTTTCTGCTGCTGGGGAATCCTATTTCACTTAAGCCTATTCGCTCATTGGCTTAAGTGTCAAGAGTAACAATTTCAGCTCGACCTGACCTCATTCTGTGTGCGTGAGATGCTGCCATGCTGCAGATCTTGTTAGGCCCATGACCAGTTGGAGGATGGGCATGATATGTCTTCCTCTTGTCGGGGCCAGATCACCTAAGAGAGAAGCCTTGACTGATGCGGCCTGCCCTAATTGTTCTGTCCTGTCCTTGTCACTGCGTACTGCTTGTTTGGCTGACTTTCAAGATGCCAGCCAGCCTGTGAAGCGTATGGCTCCTGAGGCTGTAGGGCCTCTGTGGAAGAGGACCAAGAAGAGCTCCAGGGACAGGTGGCCCATCTCACTTCTGAGCTGGAGGGGACACTTGATCCCCTCCAAGTCCATAAGGGACTCGCTGCTCAAGTCCCTTATGGACGGGCGTGGCGCTGGTCAGACTGGTGACTCTAACCCAGAGCAGTGCATGGGTTCAGAACTCTCTGCTATATCCCTGGCAGCATCTGGCACTGATTTTCAAGATCAGTTTGACTCTGGCTCGCATCTGTGGGCAACCAGTTTGCGCATCTCTTCGTTTGGAAGAGGATGTTCTACAGTGGGTGCATTGAGAACTCCTCTCACTCGGTTTCAGCTGGATGCTCCACAGAACCAATCTGCTACTTCCAGTGCTTTCTTTCGATGTCCTACTACTAGGTTGTCTTGTATGGTTCCCCCATCTGCCGAATATGTGAAGGAGGTTCATGCCTGTTAGGCAGACACTAAGGCCCTCTCACAGCCAACCTCTGTTGGCAGAGCCCTGGTGGCCATGCAAGATGCGCCCACATTCGGCTTGGGCCATATGCCTTCTGTCGAACCTGCCATAGCATCCCTCATTGTGGCGCCAGATGAGGCTTTGAGAGCTAATGTCAGGTGTCCTCGTCCTCAATGTCATGTGACAGATGATCTGCTCTGTAGAACCTATGACTCAGAGTCTCGTTTGGGGTGACTTGGTAACTCATTGTCGCATTTATTACTCGGTCTCTCAGCCTCTTTGGAGAGCTTTGCGATGGATGCACTTTCTCAGGGGTTGATGGACGCATCTCTTCATGCATTTGCTCTTTTGTCAAGGGAAATTGGCCGTGTCCTGTCTACCCTTGTCCAGGCACTCCGTCAGGTTTGGCTAGCACAGTCTCCTCTGACCAAAGCCTGTAGAACCGGGGTGGACAATCCTGGTTCTCGAGTGCTGGTGTCCTGCAACTCTTAGATGTCTCCCTGGTCTAACACAGCTGATTCAAATAGCTGAATCACCTTCTAAATGCAGTCAAGTTCTCCAGAGAGAACTTGAAATGACCCCATCATTTGACTCAGGTGTGTTGAAGTAGAAATGCATCTAAAAGTTGCAGGAGACCAGCCCTCGAGGCCTGGAATTGTCCACCCCTTCTGTAGTAGGACCCTCATGAGTCTTCCAGTGGTTCTGGGGGAGTTGTTTGGTTCTGCTGCGCTCGCAGCCTTGGAGAGGTCGGCTCAGGCTTCCCGTATTAGGCAGCAGTTGGCGGCCTTCATCGTAGACAAGTGCAGCGTCCTCCTGGGAGTGCCTCTTTGTCTCTTTTATGCACTTATCCAGCCCTATCTACACCCTTTATGGGGCAGCCACGGCATGCTGCAGGACCTGCCGCAGGGCCTGCTCATTGCCATTGGGTTCTGCCCAAGGGTTGGGCTCATGTCGCCTCTCAACCCAGGCAGTTCACTTGGCATCCCCCACCCTCTTAAGAGCAGGGGGGCTCGGAAATGACATCACTGAGCTGGCGGTGGGACATTTTATCCTGACCCAGCTCAGTTGCTGGACCGCTCTCATTTCTGATCCAATGGAGGTGTCTACACTTACTCGGGATTACATGCTACAGTTCCACCTCTGCCCTCCTGTACTGGCGGACTCCGCCCAATTTTGGACCTTACTTTGGACCTTTTTCATATCGATCATCAAGGGGGAACACGCTCAATAACATTGCTGAGGCTGAAGTCCTTGACCTGGGCAGCTCCTCTTTTTGCCAGCCTGAGGGCAGCCCACATTCCAGGGGCGCAGAATGTTCCATCCAATATTTTGTCTTGGGAATGCCCCCACTGGGGGAGTGGAGGCTCTACCCGGAGGTAGTGAGTATCATTTGGGAGAAGTGCAGCAATGCAGCTGTGGACCTGTTTGCGTCCCAAGAGACGAAGAGCTTTGGTTCTCCCTAGCAGAAAGTGTGAGTCCCTGGGTCAGGACGGACTGGCACACAGCTGGCCGAGAGTGCTGCTCCATGTCTTTCCGCCGCTTCCCCTGATAGGCCTGAAACTCCTGAGGGTGTGTCAGGAGGCGCATCAGGTCCTTCTAGTGGCCCCCCTGTGGCCAGGGAGAGCATTGTTTCTTCTATTGTACAGGCTCTGTTGCAGCTTTCCTTCCCCACAGGAAGGACTTTCTGTCACAGCTGGGGGGGTCAGATCTTGCATCCCATTCCGAGTCACCTCCAACTCTGGATTAGGCCACTGCATTTCCTTCTCAAAGTATGACGAAGACATCAGACATACAGTGACTAATTCCAGGCCCCTTTCCATCCAACTGGTGTATACACATAAGTGGAAGGTTTTTAGCAGCTGGTGTCATGCTAGACATGAGGACCCAGTACACTGATCTATTTCCATTATTTTAACCTTCCTTCAAGCACTGCTTTCTCAGGGTCGGTCTCCATCCACTCTGAAAGTTTATGTTGTTGCCATCTCTTGCTGGCATACTGTGGTAGGTGGAAAGACGACAGGCTGTAACAAGGATGTTTCTTTGTTTCTGAAAGGTGCCTGACATTTGAACCTTCCCACACGCCCTGTTGGGCCTGTGTGGGACTCTCCATCTTCGCTGGACTGCCATCTCCTCCGTTTGAACCTTTGGCAGAGGCGAGCCTTCAATGTGTGTCAAAAAAACACCTTTTCTTCTCGCCATGGCTTCAGCGAAGCAGGTGGGTGAACTACATGCGTTGCCTGTTCACGAGTCCTGTTGCCGTTGGAAACCAGCTGGTTCTGGCGTTACTCTTTGGCCTGATGTTGTGTTTCTCCCTAAGGTGGCCTCATCTGTGAGCCACTCTGTGGCCCTCCAGCTTGCTCGCTTTGATGCAGATGGGCCTGATGAGCCTCTCTGGCGCATATGTCAGACTCATAGCTTCTCTGCGACAGTTTGATAGTCTGTTTGTTTGCTACGCAGAGCCCTGCAAGGAGCAGGCCCTTTCCAAACAGCATCTTGCACGTTGGATTGTATGGAACACGCATACGTTTTACAGGGCTGGTGTACAGCGCC